ACGCATTTGCGTGTATAGTTTTCGCGTGATCTCGTTCTTAAACATAGTTGAAAATTTTATCAGTGGGAAACCAAAATGACGTAGGCAGAGAACACTCAAAAGTTACGTAATTTAAATCCCGTTGGCAAAAAAAAAAAAAAAAAAAAAAAATGCCCCCCCCCCCCTCAACTAAACTGAATGACGGGCTACGTAATTACTCCACATAGTAGATCAGCCCCAATGAAATGGTCATTCATTATTCCCCACCCACCCCCTTCCCACCATCCCCCTCCCCTTTCTTCTCTAAACTACCGGCAAGTTGAAAGTACTAGAGTGATTGGCTGTTGAATAATTCAGCCCCCAATCACTGCCTGCTGCCACATGTAATCTGCCATCATGGTCTAGCTGCCCAGCCAGTTGATTTTGTCCGGTGATGTTTACAAGGGCGGGGCGGAAAGTGGAGGAGGGAGGGGGAGCCACAATTGATTCCTGCTCGATGTTTTTTTTTTAATTGTTTTTTTTATAAAGACTGTCCGGTACAATTGGCTTAGCCGTACCCTACTTGTGATCTTGTTATTTATATCGCATGTTCTTGCTTGAACCCTTTAAAAAATCCAATTTTGAACATAACACTCAATCTAACCTAAACCTTAGTACAAGAAGGTCACAGTTAGACCCAATTTTGAACATAACACTAAATATAATCACAGTGGCGTAGCCAGGAATTGGTCATGGGAGGGGTTCAAATATTGTTCCATATGTATCAAATCATACACACACACACACACACACACATATATATATATATATATATATATATATATATATATATATATATATATATATATATATATATATATATATATATATATATATATATATATATATATATATATATATATATATATATAGGGGTGTGAGTCCATTGGAGGGGTTATAACCCCCCCCCAACCCCCTCCCCCCCCCCCTTGCCTGCGCCACTGTAAAATCATAGCCTTACCACAAGAAGTTTTAATCCAGTATGCAACATTTTATTTTTTAAAATTGAAAACCATGCTATCTTATAACTTTCCTATGCTGGAGTAGCGTATGATTGGTGCAGATATTACAGGGAGTTGGGGATTGGGAGATGTAGATAGAAGCTGATCGGGTATAAATGGTTATGAGAAGTAAACAGAGGCCGGTTATGAGGCATAAATAAAAACCGGGTATGCGATATAAATAGAAGCCGGTTTTGAGCCGTACACAGGAGCCGGTTGTAAGCCATAAATAGAAGCCGGTTATGGGCTGGAAACAGAAACTGGTTGACTACGAGGTCGGTCACAATAATATGCCAATCACTACTTAAACATAGCGTACATCGTTAACAAACAAAAAATGTATTCCCTCACTAGGTAATGTGGGATGTACCACTGTCAACTAGTGTTTGCTTTATTCCAAATTTGTAAAGGATTTTGGGTCTAGTGAAACTGTAATTTAGTAACGCTAACACTGAACTAAACACTGGAACAAAAAAATCCGTGATTTTTAAATAAAAAACATTTAAGCCACATATTTGTGGTTTTTAAAGTCAGGATCTTTCCATAAAGCCTATATGTATTAAATCAGATTAGTTCGAACAACAGCAATATTTTAAACTTCTTTTCAAACGGTTTAGCGAACATACAAAAATACTTTCAAAAAAAAAAACCTATTATATGCTTTAACTCAAAACTAGGAATTAACAAGTCTTGGACTGGGCAATTTGACATCCGGGCGACATATTTATAAACAAACACCGCATTGGACAAGAAGGATAACCCAAAGACAAAAACTTTTCTCCGGTTGTCGCCCTTGCTCACTTAACAAACGAACTGAAAACACGTTCACTATCCATTGGACACCCCCCCCCCCTCCCCACAATAAAATTGATGAAATGATGTATCTCTTTCTTTGCCTCCTATATCGCTAAATCCCCTTTCATTGGTAGATTTACAACCATTTACTTTGTAAATTCTGATTTCATTTCCCATTACCTTGTAATAGCAGGGCCGGGGGCGCAAATGGTTTAATCGGTGTTATAAAAATAGTACCTAATAATATATAACTTTTATAAAGGTATAGTGATCTATTTCGGCACCCAGGACGAACTGTCAATTTTGCACCCCCACCCCAAAACTAGGTCTATATTGGCCTATATTTATTCGCGATGGTGAAAATGCAACCCCACCTCCCTAATTTGGAAAGGTCGGGGCGCTTTTTACCAGTCACTTTGCCTTTTTAATTTGGTGTCACATAATTGATGTAGAAAACGATTAAATAAGTACGTAATTTAAAGTTCGAACATTCCAAACGGTTATCTAATTTTAATAGGGCTTGTACGTCTAGTTTTCTCTGACCTTGAATTAGAAATCTGTCCTGCTGTATGGTTTTGTAATGACGGGGTGTTCAAATTATTGTACTTGTTTGGTAAGTTTTGATGAATCGTTTAGATTTGGGAGTAACGGCGGAAGGCTGTTGCTGATATGGTTTCGTAGGTATAAAGTATCGAAGTGTTAAAGTGTCATAATGTTTTTTTCGGCTGTTTTGTAGTTGAAGGTCTAGTGAATCTGATTGGTAATAGAGAAATGAGAATACACAAGTGATGAAGTATCGTAACTTTGGAGTTCGGGAGCATTGAGTCTTGTGTAATTAAGGTATCGAATTATATTGATTGTCAAAGTGTAGTAGTAGGTCCAGTGAAATCGTTGTTGATTGGGAGTACCGTTTGTAGAGCTTGGTGAAATTAAACGAAACCGGGTCGTGGTTCTGGAGCATCAAGTCTAGTTATGTTTAAGTATCGAAGTTTGATATGTGTTGTAAATGGAGTAGATTGAGTATATCGAGTTGTCGGGGTTATGGTACGTAAGATTATTTCAATTCAGGACGGAACACACTACAAAGAAAGGTAGGCGTTCTCTAGCTGAAAAATCTTTAGTTTTTTGGGAATCTATAGTGCCACTCTTTATATATTAATAATAATATTAAATAGGATGGAATTTATAACTAACCGTAAACCTTGTTTTTTCAAATTATATTTTTTTTATGTTTAATTAATAATTCTAGCAATGTCTAAAACAGGTAGATGTACCTGTGTTTGATTTTTTGAAAGGCGTCCCTTAATTTAAGGGATCCAAAATTTTAAAATATTTCTTAATTGATGTCAAATAAGAAGATGATTGTCATCCAGATTGAATAGAAGTATGTTTTAATAAAGCTACCATTTTCAGACTTTCAAACAAAATCTACAATTAAGTATTCAATAGGTAGAATATATTATTTTTACAAGCTGTCATAGCTAATTTAAAAGTTTTGTTATAATTATTACGTTATGAAATTTAGAGCGTTTTATTGTGTTTTTCAAGCATGCCTTAGTTAAACTTGGTTAATTTAGCTATTCTTGTGACAGTTATTTCCCTTGAATAAAATTTTGGTATTTGAATTTTCAAATGGGAGATAATTCGTTGCTTAACTTAACATTCATTTCAAATTCCTGCACCTTATGTTGGCCGCATACATATAAATAGAAATTTAAGTTATTATTTGCTATTGTAAAATTATTTTGAGCTTAAGTTCTACACAAAATAGTTTGGTGGGGTTTTTTTTTAGCATTTTCAAGTTGAAAAACGAATACATCAGTAACCGTTGTAGATTGCAATACTTAATGTTAGTAGACATACAGTCTTAGTCGTAAATTAATAATCTCATTGTCTTTTCATACTTTTCACCCTCTCCTAAAGGATTCATATATAACAATTTTAGGCTTGAATCTATTATTTATAACCTTTTATTTTTTTCAAAATCAAAACAATTGTTAGATAATCACACAATATAGACATTTTACAATTATAACTAAAGACAGCCAAGCACAAAACAGGTAGGTTCTTTTTGGAACTCACCTTCGGAGGTCTGCATAGAGCCCAACACTACAAGAACTGTGTTGTTTTGTTTTGAGTGTTTTTTCCCCAGACTTTAATTCTCCCGGGAGGGGAGGGGGTGGGGGGAGCACTCAAAATTTTCTGGGGGGGGGGGGGGGGGGGGGGCAAATCGTAAAGTACAAAATAGAATTTGTGTGAAAGGGGGCGTTTTAATAAGTTTTGCCTAGGGCGCTAAATAACCTGGCGCCGGCACTGTGTTATAGAGAGTTAATTCTTAAACAGTTTGGTCCGATAAGACTGATAAGGTCTTCATAAGGTCCTACAGCTTTATTTTTATCATCATACATTTTATCATAACGTAAGAACTGTTATAAAGTAAAACATGAAACTTAAAAATAGAAATAGACAAGTGTATTTCTAATTATACATTGAATTTAGACCTGTTATAAACCTTCTGATGATAAGTGCAAAATGTTACAACTCTTGCAGCAATTTCATTTTAAACTGGCCAGTATAAATTCCATTACCCGTATTTTATTTTATTTTTTAACGTAATCATAACAAAAAAATTTGAATGAATTAAGTATATTATATAAATGAAGGCACACACTATTTAAAAATTTTTATTATATGAAATGTGTATAAATATGAACATCATTGAAATACGTGGCAAGATAAATATGGCATACAATATGGCATACAATATGAGCACAGCATCAACACCGGGGTCATTTAGATCATTCTAATTATAGATCACAAGTTCATTGAGTAGCAAAATTAACAAATAATTTAATGTTGGAGATGAAAATTTAACAATGAATTAACTTTTTTTGTAAATAGCAAATTAATTTAATTAACATAAATTACAAAAAGTTTATAACACCTTTATAACTTAAAATTATATTTAACTAGTAAAAATGTCCATTTTTGTATCTTGCTTAATTATAATTTAACAGTAACAAAAATAGTTCCAATAATATACTAGCCGACAGCAGAGGCGTAGCAAGGGGGGGGGGTGTGGAACCGCACCGGGTGACACCATTTAGGGGGTGACACCAAGGCAAAAAAGAGCAAAATATATAGAAAAAAACTTGCGGGGGGGGGGGGGGTGCAAATTGAAAATTTGAAAGTTTGTCCCCGGGAAGGGTTACTACGCCTCTGGGGGGTGACACCATTAAGTGCCGCACCGGGTGACACCCGACCTCGCTACGCCACTGGCCGACAGAAATGAAGGCACAGACGGTCATAAAACAGTAATGAAACTTGCGTAGTTGTACATCATGTACATCATACCTAAAACAATAAAAACAAGCCAAGAAAAATGTGCCTTTCAACTAAACTGATAGCACACAGTCATCAACACTGATCAGAGCACTTGGTCATTAATTAGATTCATTTTAGTTACAGATAATAAGCTCATTGTCATCAAACTCAACAATTTAATTGGACATGGGATGAAAATTTAATAGATGAATATTTCTTCTGGAATTATAAGCAAATAGAATAAACAATTGTCCAGGTTAAAAATAAATCAAGTGAGGTAGAAAATTTTAAAATGATGAAACTTTATCAGAAGAAAACATTCTAAAGCAAGCACTAGACTGTCTAGTAAAATGAAACAAACAGTGTAAACAAAATTTTAAGCAGACCTGGAAAAAAAATTAATTAGAACCATTGTAGTTACAGATCACAAGCTCATTATCATTAAAATTAACAATTTAATTGCACATGGAATGAAAATTTAACAGATATTTCTTCAGTGATAAAAATCAAAAAGAATGAGCATTTATCAACGATACAAAATTTAAATAAAAAGAAAATTTAAATAAAAATGACAAAACTTATCAGAAGAAAACATTCTAAAGCAAGCTGTCTAGTAGAATGGAACTAACAAAGTAAAAAAATAGAAATATAAATAATCCTGGAGGACTGATCAAAGTCTGTTTGAACAATGTAGTTGCCTCATTAAGCTCCTTTAGGCTCCAAAGGATTAAGTCAAATCAGAGAATTGATCAGCGTTAAATATATCACGGGGGTGAAAATTCAACAGGAAAGATAAACACATTAAAATCACAGCTTGGATTTTGTCTCAGAAATTGAGAATTTCTTGTCCGAGAAGACAAAAGATAAAAATTCATGGAGAGCCGCTTCGTACTCTTGGGTGTGATAGTTCAAATGCTGGGCATGGGGTGAGCTGTCCCACATGCGGAGGGTGACTGGAAGTTTCTTCTCCTTCCTCCAGATCTCCACCAGCGCCTGACACACTGCAGCGTCGCACATCGGATCATCTCTTGACGCAAAGACCAGCGTCGGAACAGTGAAAGGTTCATCCCTAACCACATCCACCGCTTTATTATAAAACTCAACCGTGTGTTTCTTAGTGGTGAAAAAATACATTTTAGCCACCAGCATGATTAATTTTTCTACGGCCCAGTTATGGCTAACTGATCTGGCCACCCCTTTAATCATTCTGTCTAGAGCAGGCATTTCATTGCCACTGTCAGGAGAGCCAGCGCCTTTGATGACGCCAGCTTTTCCTCCACCGACAACAATACTGTCGTAAACAACGCCACGAAATTTGTCCAGTAATTGCCCCTTGAGACCTTGGTCTCTTGCGTGAATGCCAAGAACGGTGAGGTTGTACGATCCAGCTGACATTGAATGCAGTAAGTAGTGGTCGTATCTTTGAAGCTTGGTTAGCAAAACCTAAAAGAATATACAGAAATTAAAGATAGGCGTTTTTATTCAAGTTTAACACATGAAAATCAAGCTAGATTTTCTCTAACTGTCTTGTATTGTGTTAGATACCTTGTTAAAAAACTGCTAAAGATTAGTTTATATATCTACTGCTATTAATGTTTCTATTATTTAATTAATGTTTAACATATCAGTAGCTCAGTAAACACAATAAGGTGGTACTGCTTAAAAACATCCTATTCATTTCTGGCAATCATTAAGATGTGTTATCTATATATTTCTGAAACACTACTAATCTATTTTTTTTTACACCTCTATATGTATTGAATTTCTCATATAAATTGATGAATAAGCAATTTATTGTGTTTATGACACTACAGATAATAAAAAAATTTCTTCCTTAAAGTTATGTGACCTACTTAGGTCGAGTCAGGTTCCATTTTTATTTTGACATTGTATAATACCTTATATGGAATGATTGTGCAACTCCTGGGGATTTTCCACTGTCTTATTAAGGGTGTCTAAGACTAAGAAATTTTCCATTAAGATCTGATTGAATGATTCTGATCATATGACCCTCCCAACCAATGGCTACATGAGTTGAGGATGACCTCCCCTGTGGCAGAAGTCTTTAACTGCCCCGCACACTCGACACACGTGGCAGTTTTACCTTGATCAGGCAGTCTACCAGGATCAAAGGGTCCATTACGACCAAGCCGTCCATATTGTCCGGCAATAGATTCTGACCATTTGAACGTGAGAGAACTTAAGTCCTGTGTGTGCCTTGCTTTCTTAAGTTGATTTAGTCTTCTAGTATAATATTACTTGTCGCCAAGTAATTCTTGAAGCTATAGCAGTGTTGTGTGGCCTGTGGCTAGTTTTTACAGTGGTGAAATCTGTGATAGTGTTTTTTCTTACATTTTGTAAGTTGGGTTTTGATATTTTATACATTAAATATTTTATCTAGTTTAAACTTGTGTTCTGCCACAACTGTGTTCGCTTATTAAAGGTTGTATGCAGATTGGATGAGTGTTAATTTCAATAGTATCACTAGTTTTCCCTAGACATCGAATTCGAGCCCTAGTGTGCCGTTGTGTTAGTGTTCATCCATTTAGGCCGTAAGGCATTTGCATATAACCCCGAAAAAAGAATCCGGGGACGTTCTCCTTCTATCTGGCTGATAGATAGGTAAACGTTACAGTTATAACCAACTTCCAAAATCTAAATCAAATTTAAGGCAAGTGTTTTTTTTACCTCTGTTGTTTGTTTGGCCAACTTGAATGAATTTGGCGGCCACAAGAAATCAGAATTGGCGGAATTCACCACCAGAACGTCCAATCCAGTTGACCTGTAGAGGTCACAGTACTTCTGGATGTGCTTTTTTCTAGCACCCAGCCAAGGGAAGAACAGCACCAGCACACGCTTGGGGTCAACAGGCCACTGAGTTGTGGACCTTGTCAGGGCTGTGTGGAGCTCCAACCTGTCTGATAATTTCTGTACCTCCATGTTGTTCACTGACCCATGGCTGTAGCTTTAAAAAAAAAAGTATAAAAATGATCTTATGTAGATGTAATGCTATTAGACTCATACTGCATAATTAAGTAAAACTAATTGACACTCTGATGTTGTATTGAATAGCCAGGTCTTTTTATCACGTATAGATAACAAGTTACTGTAATTTATTAAGCAAGCTAATCAATCAGATATAAATAAGCCTTTATTAATGCTTATGATTAATGCTGTTTTTTTTAATTAATAATACCTAGAAATCATATATCAAATATTGCTATTACACAATGTCAATAACTTACTTTAACCCAAACCTTATTTCTATATAAAGTAAAAGTAGGGTAAAAATGTGTAACATTAATGTTATCCGTGTTTTTAGCAAAGGAAGTAAGTTTTCTTCATGATTATGAAAGACATTACTGTTTCACTCAATTAAGGTATGCATGACTATGCTGTAGATAAACTGTATTAATTAATCTTTTATACTATTTCTTTATTTCAGCTGATTATTAAATACAAAGTGCTTGCGCATTTGTTTCAATCATTAAAGGTGTTCTATTTTGTTATCCGTGAGAGGCTTGTTTCCTCTTATCAGTTTACACAGACGTTGAGTGAAACTCTACCACACATCTAAGCAGCACATTCCATTTAAACTAATAAGTGGGAAGGACTAATCAATTAGATCTTAAAAGCAATACATTTTTTTTATCAACTCACCTGATTTTAGTTGTATAGAGTTGTCTAATGGCAGTAGGATTGGGCTTCACAAGTAGAATTTTCTGCATGGCATTTTTATGTAGTCTGCCACATGCTGACCAATAAAGAATATTATTACAACTAACACTACACATCAACCTATTGAAGGGCAAATGTCTCACAGTTTGCTGCGATAGAAATGAATAAAACATTATTTTGATTTTCAACTTAACAGACTTTAATTTTTTAGTCGTAAAGTGAAAAGAATGACAAAGAGTAAGCACCCAAATTAAGGCAGCATAATTCAAATCAGATGCTAGTTAATAGATGGCACTCCACAATAAGCCCGATAGAACCAAGTGAAAAATCTTCTGGTAAATTGTGAGTTACAATTGGAATGGCATAAGTAAATCTTAAACCTGAGTCTAGCTAGTGCTTGCCACTTCACTTCAAGCATCTCGCATTTTACTTTTTCAAAATACAATTTACGAATTTTACACAAACAGTTCTAACCTAAATGCAAACTAAATAGTTCACAAAGCTTAAAAATAAAAAATTTCAATAGTCATAATAGTCAAACTTGGTTAAATTTACTTAGGAATTAGGTAATTAATCAGTTTTTATATTAATAAAAAATAATCCTTACCTACTAAGTAGAAATAATTTGCAGGGCTATTATATATTTAACAAAACATTAAGTTTATTAAAAGTAATTACTTAATCAAAGCTTAGAACATCTTTTAGGTCAGTTCAATAGCCAATAGTGATCTACTAAGACCCTAAAATTACTAACTAAATCTTAATAAAATTAATTATTTAATTATCCTGCCCAACTGAAAAAGTTTACAAACATCCATATTGTATTATTTGCAGATCAACAGTCTGCACACTCCAGTGTATTTGTCTGACTCCAGTGCAGGTGTTGTTAAGTGAACTTTAGACTAGTTTCTACCAGTTGATTATCTATTCTAAATTTTTAATTTTGTTATCACTATGGCCACTCCATGCAAAGGTGGAGATTAGTCGTTTATTTTAAAATATTTTAGTTCACAGAGTTCAAAGTACCATTTGTAAAGAAAAAAAACCATTAGATAACAGGCCCTAGATCTAGATCTATGGTCTATATAGATATAATTGTGGCATTAATACTTAGGCTACTAGATTGTGTAGCCTTATTTACTACTGTTGCAGTTCAAAGGTTAAACAAAGTTTAAAATAAGGAAGTTAGGTCAGGTCACAGTGACAAGAAGCAGATAAGTGATAGCAACATTTTTAGTTATATTCCAAGAAGACCCACATAGTCTCTATAGGCCTACTATTTATTTATAGCAGCTCCAAAATCCAACTTCTAACATATAATGTATTTTACATCTAATCTAGATCTAGATACTATATGGGCCTATAGGCCTATAAAAAAATTAATTGAAGAGTGGGCCCTATAATATTCTTGAGGCCTAATCACTCTAAATACTAATCGTGTAAACATCTAGATAGGTCTATAATTTGTAGGCCTAGGCTTTTTAATAGGTCTATTTATTAGAGTAGGACATATTAGATTATAGAATTAACCTAATTTAAAATTTTAATATAATATAGCCTAGGCCTAAGTAATTACAGTAATCTAAAAATATTAGGCCTACCAGCCTAATTAGTTAGTAATTAGTAAGTAATTAGTAATAGTCGGTAACCAAACAATATTGAATATTCCCTAAAGTAAAAGACTAAAAGTTGAAATTTGTTATTAAATTAATCGGGTGTTGGGAGATTGCGAGACGCGAAAAGGCGAGGCGAGAAAATGCGAGAACATAATGCGAGACATACCTGCGGAATTAAGGGTAAATAGCGAGACACTTTTTGCGAAAAAAAAAGTTTTTTTCATGCTTTTTTCATCTTTATTTATTTAAATTATTTTTATTTGTTTTAAAATAAACAAGCATTTATCGGAAGTTTTAACAATGTAAAAGAAACGTCTTTAAAGTCTGGACCAAATACCACTGAAAATCGGGTGCGGTAAATTTTTCGCAGAAATCTTCGCATTTCAACACCACCCAGCGTAATTATCGGGTTGTGGTAAAATGCGAGACAAAAAGTCACGTGACTGACCGTTTTCGCGCCCTTCTCGCATTTCCCCGCCTCGCCATTTCGCGTCTCGCAATTTCCCCACACCCAAATTATTAGTATTTACCTACGTACTACTTACGTCTGAGTGTAAAGTGTAAAGTAAAGCTAACTAACTTGTAACTAGATTCTTCTAGTAGATCTAGATCTACTACTAGATCTAGGCCAGTTAGATCTAGAATAACTAAAGCTAGTCTATGTTAAAACATTGGCATATACTCAGATACTGGGCCCGATTTCAAATTATCACTGATAATCTGTTTAGTGTTTACTGTTTACCTAGAATCTATGTAGTTTTAAGTTTTTGAGTTGTTTGTGCACTTTATTGCTTTCATAAATAAGAGAAGATGTTTACATTTTGTTCACGGTGTACTAACACTTTCTATCTAGAAAATAATAGCGTTTTTAAATATATCACAATCACAATGATTGGCTTTTTAAATATTAAAAAGAAATGCAGTGTTTCTTTCAGGCCTCTCTCGCATGAGAGGGGCACATATGGAGCAGACCTACCGACTCCAAACGAAATAGAAAAATATAATTTAATATATAGGCTATATTTTAACCATTGTGTGCCACCCCACCACCCTTGAAGTTTCGCGTGCCCCTTCCCGAAATTTCAATGGCGCTCCCACCCCTGACACATAATTATAGTCTACATATATACAGATACCAGTGGCCCACGATTTTTAGGGGCCTCCAAATTTGCTGTTACAACTAGCCTAATAGTGCCTTCGATTTTCTTAAAGTCATGAACACATTTTCTAGACGCCCCGTTCCCTTCACCTCTAGTATTAACAACACCCCTCACGACTTTCTGCTCAGTGTTTCTTCCAGGCTTTCTTCTCCGGGGGGGGGGGGGGGGCACTTGAAATTTTCGGGGGGGGGGGGGGTAAACTTTCTTCGGGGGGGGGGGGGGGGCGGACACTGTTACAAGTATATATTTTCTATGTAAATTATATAAATTTCATTCCGTTCTAGAGATGCCTGGAAGAAACTCTGTTTCTGCTCGCAAAATATGTACCTAAGCGACGTTCCCTAAAATAATATAAATTGTATTTCTGACATACATATAAAATACGTAAATGAACCAGTTTATGCAGAAACATACACAAACGGAATCTGATCAAAACAGGCTAGAAAACATGTTTTACTTCTACACATGTGTTTATGACTGATCCGTCTGACAAAAAAAAAAAAAACCAGTTAGTGATAACCCTATCACAATAGAAAAAATGTATATACCTTATAGCTAGTCCGGCTATCTGCACAGATCGAAAACACCAAGTTTGTAAAAGATAAGTTTGTGTGTCATTTGAAAAGTGGTATTGCGAGGTTGACATTGTGGAAAAGACTGAACGGAATGTACTCATATTTTAGGGGCCCCATCAGTTTTCTTTTTCTCTTATCGACTAAAAATATAATTAATTTTTATATAGATTCTTGCGTGTGTATTTTTACAATATGAATAAATGTTGTAATGTTCAAACCAAAAGCTTTTTTTAATGTAAATTTACAAATACAAAAACCCACCAAGGATATGCAACAAAACTCATATCAATAACACTGAACATACTTTTAATGGGCAGCAGTGTTGCTAAACACATCTCTTGTAATGTTTATGAATTATTTAAAGCAAAATGAGTAAACCCGTTTATGAAATCCAGAACACGTCGATTAAGATATTAAGAGCTCTATTTGGATATATGACAACACACAAACATTGTAATTCTACTGGCTAATATTATGTATTCTTTTGTGAGAATAAGATAACAATAATTACTTCTGGACCCGATATTTAAGAGTTTGCACCCCCCTCCCCACGTCACTTCTCAAGCAATCCCCGTTTTATACCAAAGAATACTGCTCACATCATTCAATATTATTTCAAATCTTACTTTTTTTCCCACGAAATTTACTAACAGAAAACTTTGTAACTGCAGATTCATCTAACTAGGTAGTCCAAACTGAAATTAACCATTGATTGCAGACTTCTGGAGTGAGTATGTCATGAAAGAACTTTTAATTGTAAGCTCTATGCCGCAAATTTTATAAAAATATCTCAATAAATTAAAAAGTTATGCGATTTTTAAAAAAGCAAAATTTGGTAAAAAACTGATTTTCAAAAAGTGTCATTTTTGAGAACCCATATTTTCTAAACTAAATAACATAGAAGTGTAGAAATTGGTAAAGTTACTGCAAAGTTTGTAATATATATGCCCAATTTTTTTCAGTCATCTAAAATGAGTCTTTCTAAGGTAAAAAAATAATTGAAAATGACAAAAATGCGTTTTGATAACTTTCATTTTCATAAAACTACTAAGTCTTGCCATTATAATAATTAAGTTGTGAGTGGCGAACAGAATAAGTAACATGTAACAAAATATATACAAATTTTGTTTAATAAAACAAGTAGAAAAGGCAAATAATTATATCTTAATAAAATAATCATTGCAGATATAAAAGTGCCATCATCGGAATGCTCAATATTATACAGTTCGGCAACTTTCAGAGGAATTTTTAATTATCTCCCTGCTTTTTCACATTGATCTGATCTTTGTTCTGTATTCCATATGACAATAAGCTCCGATCATTCGAGAGAACTTCATTATTAAACATCCATATTTGTTCCAGCACAGGAATATTGAACTGGAAATAGATTATTATATTTATAAATTGTATATTAGTGAATTGTTATAAAATTTGGTAAAACTTAAGAAACAGAGTTATGCTATAAAAAAATTATTATAATTTAATTTCTCACCAAACTTTGACAGTCCCCTTTAAGTCCTTCAATTTTCATTGTTCCTTCAAAGTATACCTGAATTTTATGTATATAATTTAGAAACATTAAAAGAAAAGTAAAATACGGGGGGGGGGGTGAATTAGAGGTTCACCTGATTCAGTGATTACAGTATAAGAAGGGTTAGTGTGGTCAGCAATACGCCCGACTTTAATTTCCCCAACATGAGCTAGGTACCCATTAGAGTTGGGTGAACTCAGGGACGTCGTACGAACTCGAGTCCGGGGATCGGAACTCGAGACTTTCTGATTAGCAGTTGAATACTCTACCATTCGACAGCACCGTTCCTTAGTATAGTTCTTTTTTAAAAGGTTAAAGCACACATTCACGAGATGCCCTCTTCTTCCTTATGAGTTTCTTTTCGTTTCTTGCAAATGCGATTGAACAATGTTTGTACCGTAAGGAAAGTGTTCAATGGTGTATAGTGGCACAAAGGAAAAAAACACCCGGGTCAATGAATACCTGACTCACGTTAAGAAAACAAAGGCGAGTAGGCATTGTGTTGACTACATTATCCCATAGAAAAACCGAGATCACTGAAACAGATAAACTCAACTTTATCTGCCCAATGCGTCTTGGGTACGAACAGGAAAAGATGATAATGATACTGTCATTTAAGATACAACGTAACTGCAATAATGTTCACCTACTTTCTTGGTCTCCACAGAACCATTAGGCATTGTACGTAGTAATGTGACTTCAATTTCTGGGACAGCTTCAGCTTTACCTACGGGTATCTCACTACTGGACATTCTAAGAAATGGTTATTCTAAAACTGAACGGGAAAAAAGTAGATATAATTTCAGTTTAAATTAATATATTATTATATTTGATAGTGCTGTATCCTGGCAAAGAAACAGAGGATGAATCAATTTGATACAATATGAAGCGTCACAGGCAACAGGCTCCGAAATTCACCCCTAGCTGACAATTTTAGGATCTCAACCTCATCCCCAGCTGACAATCACAGGCTCTGACTCCCCCCCCCCCCCACCACCAGCTGAGAATCACAAACTCTGAACCTCACCCCAGCTGACAATCACAGGCTCTGAACTTCACCACTAGCTGACAATCACAGACTCTGAACCTCACCCTCCCCCCCCCCCCCCCAGCTGACAATCACAGGCTCTGAACCTCACCCCAGCTGACAATCACAGGCTCTGAACTTCACCACTAGCTGACAATCACAGACTCTGAACCTCACCCTCCCCCCCCCAGCTGACAATCACAGGCTCTGAACCTCACCCTCCCCCCCAGCTGACAATCACAGGCTCTGAACCTCACCCTCCCCCCCCCCCCCCCCCAGCTGACAATCACAGGCTCTGAACCTCACCCTTCCCCCCCCCCCAGCTGACAATCACAGGCTCTGAACCTCACCCTCCCCCCCAGCTGACAATCACAGGCTATGAACCTCACCCTTCCCCCCCCCCCCCCAGCTGACAATCACAGGCTCTGAACCTCACCCTCAACTAACAATCCTAACAGCATCAGAATGCTGCTTCAGTACAATAATTATTATAATTACATTATTATAAAGCACAAATATAGGACATTTTTTATAAGACCTATTGAATACAATATACTGATATACCCTCGTCATGTCTACGATTCCTCCCCAAAGATAGAAAGATAAGAAATAAGAATTCTAAAAGGAATGCATTCTAATTTTAAATATAGTAAGCTAAATTGTAGTGTATTAGTGCTATTACTTAGCCTACTCGACAGGCCTGGCCTATAGTATATTTTATTTTATTATTACTATTAGCCCTGGGATTTAACTTTAAGTATAACTGTAGTGTATAGTGTATAGTAGACGAGAGGCCTAGATCTAGAACTAGTCTAGACTACTCTAGACTCTAGTTAAGTCTAGATTAAAAGTCTAGTATTAAAAACGTATTTTGTAGTGTATAAATAATTTTACAAAACGTCTTCTTCTTTAGTATATTACGCTTAAGTTATTACCAGTTATCTAATTAAATTTTTTTTTGATCAAGTTACCTAGATGTAGATGTTGTCTAGTAAATAGCTCACACAGCAGTCAAGGCCTAGTGTGTTCTGTTATTACGGGATTTCCCAATCTGTGTAGCGGGAATTACATTTACATTGCATCAACTAGGCATAACAGTAATCCTCTTCCCTGTCATCATTCGCCTTTTAAAATTATTTAAATCAATTCGTCTTTTTTTTTATGTTCAGGCGTAATTTATTTTTCTTTTTTCTGAAATGGTCTCGAAAGAAAATATTATACCTTGTGTCCGTTCTGGGCTTTTGACTTGCAAAATGGACTGCAGTTAACAAAAGCTAAAATGATGAATTTTAAGTCATGTTTTTTTTTTTTGGGCATGATACCTGATGATCCGTGTTTAAAAACTGCCATGAGATGGAAACTGAATGAGTCGATAACGGATTAGTGAAAACAAAGAGTGGAGTAAAAGGTAGTTAAAAAAAAAAGTTCGTGATTTATAGCAGCAGTGAGTCGGTAAAAGTGATAGGTAAAGTAGGGTGAGTGAAAAATTGAATGACTCACACAATGAGGTGGAGGGAGTGAAAGATTGAACACACAATACGTTGGAGTGAGTGAAATGTTGAATGAGTGAAGCAATGAGGTCGAGTGAGTGAAATATTGAATTAGCTACACACCGAGGTGTAATGACTGGAATGTGTGTAAAACAAAAATTAGGGCTAATGCTTAAGAGAAGAATAAAATCTATAATGGTTTGATCTAAATTTTTCTGGATTGTAATTCTGTATACGGGGCTTTATGGCTTCAAGCTAAAATGCCTCTAGAATAGGCCTGATGGCTTCAGCTAAAAATTTTCTGGACTTTACTGATAGCATCAATATAAAATATTTCGGGGTTTGATGATAAACAACTTATATGAGATAATAAGCTATCAAATCTTGATATGCTTTCACGTGGTAAAGTTGGTTAAGGAACACAGCAAACGCAGATTATGACTTGTAAAGCCAAGACTGTGGAAGACTTTAAATTTACAATTACGCTACTTATAAAATTTGGTTCTTTTTTTTTTTTATTTTTTATTTTTGCCTCAGACATGTAATTTACAGCGTCAGTTTACCTTGCATGTTCGCTTTACTATTACAGTTTTCATCATCGGCTGGTGAGGACTGATACCGATTTACAATAGTAATACTTCTTTCTTACTTGTAGCCTACTTCCATTGATTTAATTATGGTTTACTTAGATCTAATACAAAACGTCTAATTACAATTTTATTTAAAAAATTAAAAAAAAACACCTGAAAACGCAAATGTGTGTAATTAAATTACTATTCAAGGCATTTTTTTTTCTCCTCGGCGTGGTGGGCTGACGGGGGTTTTGGCTTTTAAGTAGAGCTGAAATAAATTTGGGATTATAGAGCAGGGGTCGGCAACCTGCGGCTCGCGAGCCGCATGCGGCTCCGTTGCTGTCAGGATGCGACTCTCCAGTTCCATGCACAGATATTAATAATTATATTATTTTATTTTCAAAACTCATACATATATACTCATACTGTAAAGAAAAATAACTTTAAACAGGATAAAAACACTGAGTAAGAATAGGCGGAGTAGAGAGCATACGGACAGCTGATCGATAGCCGCTTGGGCACTAGTCCGAGCCCACGGTAATCAAACCGATACCAACAGTGGCGTAGGCAGGGGGGGTTAGGGGGGGTCATAACCCCCCCCCCCCATAGACCCCTCGGTATATATAAAAAGTATGAGGGGGGGTGCAAATCGAAAGTTTGAGGGGGGGGGGGGGTGCAAATCAAAAGTTTGAGGGGGGGGGTGCAAATCGAAAGTTTGAGGGGGGGGGGTGCAAATCGAAAGTTTGAGGGGGGGGTGCAAATCGAAAGTTTGAGGGGGGGGGGTGCAAATCGAAAGTTTTGAGGGGGGGGGGGGGGTACAAATCGAAAGTTTGAGGGGGGGTGCAAATCGAAAGTTTGTCCCCGGGTAAAAATTGGAACCCCCCCCTTGAGACGATCCTGGCTACGCCACTGGATACCAAAGCCATTTGATTTAGTCCGAGTTTGCCGTGTTGAGGTCTGCCTGGCTAATGGGAGACAACCCTGAGCTGTTGATGTTGAAAGAAAATTATTTACTTCTAAAGTGGACTGGGATAGTCCTATAGTTTTATTATTTGATTACTAATTTTATCATAGCAGAATTAACTTTAATATGTTTTATGAGAAACATTTGTATGTTGTTTTTTTTTTAATAAATAAATATTGTTTTCATTTTTTAAAGCTATTTATATCAAATCAAAATTATATATCTAATCCTAATCAATTATTTAAAAGATTGAAATAAAAATCACTAATTTGCATTTTTTAATAAGCAACATTAATTGAAGAACTGAATCTAGAAATACGAGGGAAGAAGTTTGTTACATTGGCAGCGCAGTTATCTCCTTTGATCTACCCGTGCTATCCGTGAAACCCATACTGCTTGCTTCCCCTTCACCAGTAGAATATAATTTTTCCCTTTGTCATGATTACCTCCATTGCATTATAGAGCAGTATTCTCCTTTTCTTTTCCTTTGGACTGAAAATGGACGCAGTTCTTTGGGATGTGGGGTTTACTTTTAATTTAAATGATAAATATGTTGTCATATCTCTCACTAATAACTACCATTAGCTAAATAAAGTAGCTGTAGATTATCTTATCAGCTACCACCTTATATATATATATATATATATATATATATATATATATATATATATATATATATATATTATATATATATATATATATACATATATATACATAATATATATATATATATATATATATATATATATATATATATATATATATATATATATATATATATATATATATACACACAAATATATATATATAATATATATATATATATATATATATTATATACACACACATATTATATATATATATTATATATATATATATATAATATATATATATATATATATATATTATATATATATATATATATATATATATATATATATATATATACATACATAAAACACGCACACACACACACATATATATATATATATATATATATATATATATATATATATATATATATATATATATATATATATATATATATTATATATATATATATATATATATATATATATATACATATATTTATATAGTTTTTTTCCAGCTCAGTGTATATTAATACACCCCTGCCATTTAAAAATGAAACACTACCCCTAGCCTGACCTGATTGATCAGATAAGCGTGACGCCCTAACTCCTGGGGCGTTGGATCAAGTACGTATCAAAACCATTACTTTTTTAAAATGTCGCCCAGGTAATCCAATGACATGCAACACCACCACCCCCCCCCCCCCCCTTTATCAATGCGGCTCCCGATAAACAAGTCCAAGACAATTTCGCCCCCCCCCCCTCTCAAGTGTTTGTGACCCAGACGTGACCCAGACGTTAGGACTCCAGACAAAAGGGTCACCCATCCATAATATCGGCGTATTTGGGCATACATAATGTATATGCAAATCACATTTCAGTTTATCGTCTGTGTGATATTTATAGATATTTCGAACATAACTGGACTTATTAGAATAAAGACCCCCCTCCCCCCTTTCACAGACGGTCATTTATTTCTGCTGATGGTTGTTTCTTATTCCTCTTTTTTTTTAACGTTAAATAGATTTCCTCCAACACAGTTCACTCTATTCGAGCCAGAGCTAGTTGTGTTGTTGCCTGTTAAAACATTAAAATACATGAAATATTTAGCATTGCATACAATTATTTTATTAAAAGGAAAACAGTTCTCATTTCTTGCATTTTCTCGTGTCGTTTTGTCTTACGTTGCCTTGCTACGATCCGTTTAATTTACGGTGCATGCACCTGTTTCATGCATTCGTGGATGGGTCGCCTCAAAACATTTTATTTTTATTTCCTTTCATCACAATGACCGAGAAAATCGGTCAGGTGTTACGTAAATGGATATGGGGTGGTATTGGGAGGGGGGGGGGTGTAAACGGAGAGGGGGTGCTATTGTGAGAGAGGGGGGGGGGTGTAAACGGGGGGATGTAAACGGAGAGGGGGGAGGGAACCCCATCTAAAATCCTTCACAAAGTGTCAGGTTCGATTCTGATTGTGTTCTAAACACGACCGATTCACTTAGTCTACACAAGTGGTTCTTAGCCTGGGTTCAATCGAACCCCATGGGGTTCAGTGAGTCAGTTTCAGCGGTTCAGCTTAGGTCAAGACACACACCCCATATCATATGATTCCCTAACGGATTTTGTCAGTGTGGACGATAAAACTATTAAGAAGGGTTCGATAAATGCGCATAAGAAACTGGTGGGGTTCGGCACCTCCAGAGTTTCTTTCAGGCATCCCTTCGGGAGGGGGGTACATGAAATTTATATAGAAAATATATACTTTTAACAGTGTCCACACCCCCCCCCCCGAATAAAGCTTACCCCCCCTCCGAAATTTCAAGTGCCCCCCCCCCCCCCAGGGAGAAAAAAGTCTGGAAGAAACACTGGGCGCCTCCAAACAGGTTAAGAACTACTGGTCTACACTAAAACACAGCAAGATGTCCAATGGCTAACGATACATTGAATGGACAATAAGTCAAATTCCCAGTTGTCGTTGCACATAAGGACAGGGGGTTGTTTCATTATGAGCCTCCGTGGATGGGTTGTGTTTATCTGGGGGTCTAATTGCCAGGGGTCGGTCTGAGGGGGTCAGGGCTAACATTTAGTATTTAGTATTTATCAACAATGCGCACTGTTTCACAATCAGGTACACATCCAGGGGACGGAACTACCATACCAAAACTAAATGAACTGTAGTGTTAAAGATAGACAAACCTTCAAAATAATTCTATGACTTACTGCTCTTCTTTAAATAGTGTGATACGGGTGCCCATAAAGCCCATTGGGGTCATCCATAAATGACGTCACGCTTTTTTTGACGATTTTTACCTCCCCCCTCCCCTCCGTCACACTTCGTCACAAAAAGCCAGACCCCCCCCCCTAAAATGACGTCACACCTCAACCTACAACCCCCCCTCAAAATTGCAGTTGAAGTTTTTTAAAACATCGATATTTTTCTAAAATCTTGTCTAAACTATTACAATTTATTAAAACAGTTATCTAAAACGCGAAATAACGTCTAAAATTCGTTTTCTAACATTGCTTTTTTATAATGCAAAAATGTGACGTCGCAACATCTGACCCCCCCCCCCCCCCTCCCCCTCATCACACATCGTCACAAAATTACGGACCCCCCCCCCCCTCCCCCCTACGAGTGTGACGTCATTTATGGATGACCCCATTGAAATAGGTTTGTTCTTAACAAATTAAAAAGCTATCTCTTCATTATTATTTAAATAAGGATACTAAAAAATGGCATAGCTATAAAAAGGAATTTTATTCCAAATTAATAATATAAATACAACTTTTTTTTTCAAAAAAAAAAAAAGAAGAAATAAAACAAACACGGGAAACCATTACACTAAACCAATTTAAAAAATCTAAAATATCTTAGAATGTATTTTAATAAAGTATCTTTTTAAAGATCTGAACTTTCCCATTCTCTCTAAATGTCTTTTACAAATACCTTCCTCATCATGAGTCTTATAATGACTTACATCTAAATGGGATAGTCTAAATTGACGTCATACGTTTTGAACAGTGTGAAGATTCTGATTTTTAATCTTTGTGAGGTGGAGAGGGGTAAATAAAATTTATAATTATAACATTTAAAATTACATGAATACAATTTGTGTATCATACAAACTATATAGTAAACGTTGATTTCCTTTCACGTTTGTGTAAATTTAGGAGAGTGGGGGGGGGGGGGGGGGGGGGGGGGAAGGGTCGGTAATGGGTGAAGCATGGTAACGTCATTTAGATGTGAAGGACTTTGGCAAATTTGGCTTTAAAAAGTAAAATGACTACTTTATGGGACACCAAAGGAGGCTCAATATCGGAACCATCTATTCATTGGAATGTATATTTCTTATTTCAGTCACTTAAAAACACACATTATTTCGCATTACATGTCTCTTTCCTTCGCTAAATCACTCTCACGCTATCGAAGTCAAACACGCACAAAATATGTTATCTGATGCACTAAAGCAAAACAAACACAATTTTTAAGTGTCGCCGATTTGTAAGTGTTAAATGATTGTCTCAAGTGTCGCTTAAATAGACCCGGCCTGACAAACATCTCAACAGGACGAGAGCATTGCAGCATACAGTTCGCATACACTGTTGCCACTGGCTCGCCTTTTGATTTAACTTACAGGCTGTTTTTTGTTATCAACTTTAGTTTGAACACACGTTCTCGCGTTTAGAAGTTATGAGTCATATATTTTATGTTTTTATGTCTATGGGTCAAGTGAAGTGTGGTCAGCATTATGACCAGCCGACTTTATTTTCACTAGCGTGAGCTAGATACCAATAAGAGCTGAGTGGACTCAGGGACGGTCTCATGACTTGAACCCGGACCCGGACTCGAACTTGAGCCTTCCGGATTAGAAGTCTAGCTATCTACCGCTAGGCCAATCCATAATTATCTCTCTCTATATATATATATACATGCAACCCATAAATATTTACATTTATTAATATATATATATATATATATATATATATATATATATATATATATATATATATATATATATATATATATATATATATATGTGTGTGTGTGTGTGTGTGTGTATTTATATTTATTCAATGAACATATAATCATGTATTTGAACGAACAGATCGGAGCGGAACTATAAAAATGACTCATGCCTTGACTAACCTCTTTAACTACAAAATACATTTAGCTCCGAACAATCGAAGTGCATTACACACACCCCTCCCCCCCACTCTCCCCCTGTTCTGTCATGCACTCCATCAGTCAGGGCCGTCCCATAGAACGGTGACACTCCACCAGTTCACCTGTCGGACACACGATGTGTCAGTCTGTTGTTGCATTTAGCATGAGCCGGACCTTCTCTTTCCACTCGCTCTGTGGATGTGAAATAAACACTTAAAACCGGTTGTTTTTCAATTTTCAAACCTGATGTGATTTGTGCGTGATATAGACACTATATCACATCTAATTGTACGCTGAATAGCAGAGCTGGATTTCCACTACGTAAGTTTATATAATATATATATATATATATATATATATATATATATATATATATATATATATATATATATATATATATATTTATATATATATATAATATATATGTATATAGTATGTATTTGTATATACATATATGTACACACTCATAAATATGTATATATATTTATATGCCAACATATATATATATATATATATATATATATATATATATATATATATATATATATATATATATATATATATATCTAATATATAAAGCTCAGTTCTGTAACGTGTGGCAAAAATAAAAAAGTTTGTCGTTGACACTTCTACGGATTTAAGTGTTAGATTTTTTATCGTGCTCAAAGTCTAAATGTACGAGTCGAAAAATTACCATTGAAAGTCTTTAAAAACAATTTTCATTCTATTTACTTAGAAGAATAATTTTTAATTATGAACGCGACATAAAATTTTTAAAAAGTGTATCGACGTTTATAAAATTTCTAAAATTGTGTCGGAAATGTATTGACTGCAAGTTACTTCCCTTTAATGAAAAATAAATCCTTAAGAAGAGAGAATTAACATTTTATTACTTTGTTTTTGGTGTTAAGAAAAAAAAAATAATTACACAATTAGCGGGGATTGATTAAGTGCAATGTCGTTAGGTATTTTTAACACTGCCTTTTATTTATTCTATACACTGAACATACTGTTCAATAATTATTTTTTTTTTTTTAAATCAATAACATTTAATAAGCCAGGTCCTACAAATCATATACGTTTATTTCTTTCCATTTACGGATAAGCTTGGAGTATTATCATTTTTGTTCACTAAATTGAAACAGGCGCGTCCGCCGGCGCCCCTGCACGGTTTGATTTGGCACCCTGGGCTATCATGTGAGCGCTATGCTGCATAATTTTGTTTTAAACAGTGCGATAGACTATGGATAAGAAAGGTTACTATAGTCTTTAAGTGAATCAAATCCGGGCGTCCTCCGGCACCCCGACAGGGTGCTATTTGGCGCCCCGGGCCTTCCGGTGTACGCTATGGTATCTACGTTCGCGTGAGTTCAAAAGACTATAAATAAGTTATGCACTATAGGCGTTAACTAAGTTCAATCAGGCGGTGACGTCATGGTGCGTCCTCTGGCGCCCAGACAGGGTGCTTTTTGGGGTCCCGGGCCTCCCGTGTTCGGTTTCGCGCCTACGTTCACTAAAGTGAGTGCAAAAGACTATGAATAAGTTGGGGTACTATAGTCGTTTATTAAGTTGAAGTAGGCGATTCAGCCCCGTGAGCACTTTGCGTTTATATTCGCGTTAGTGTTTTCTTTGTGTTTAGGTTGGGTTTGCGTTAGTGGTTGCGTTTTGATTTGGTTCGTTTTTGTTCTTTCTTTTTTCGTTTTCGTTTGTGTTTTATTTTCATTGGGTTTGTGTTTGTATTTGTGTTTGAGGTTGGTTTTGCGTTTGGATTTGGTTTGTTTTCGTTTGTTTTTCTTTTGTGTTTTTTTTTCTTTGGGTTTGTGGTTGGTTTTGCGTTTGTATTTGGTTTGTTTTCGTTTGCTTTTTCGTTTGTTTTTTTTCTTTGGGTTTGTGTTTGTGTTTGTGGTTGGTTTTGTGTTTGGATTTGGTTTGTTTTCGTTTGCTTTTTTCTTTGTGTTCGTATTAGTGTTTGTGGTTGTGGTTGGTTTGTTGTAAGTTTTTGTTTTCGTTTGTATTTGTAATTGTGTTAGCGTTATGTTTGCGTTTTGTTGTTTTGGTTTTGGTTGGTTGTGGTTTGGGTGGGCAATGCCGGGTTTATGATGATTACTAAACACACAGGTGATGGTCTTTAACAGAAGGGTTTTTCACAGAAGCCAGAGCAGGGCCTGGCCGGGACGGCTAGTCTAATATATAAAGCTCAGTTCTGTAACGTGTGGCAAAAAAAAAAAAGTTTGTCGTTGACAGTTCTATGGATTTAAGTGTTAGATTTTTTATCGTGCTCACAGTCTAAATTTACGAGTCAAAAAATTACCATTGAAAGTTTTTAAAAACAATTTTCATTCTATTTACTTAGAAGAATAATTTTCAATTATGAACACGACATAACATTTTTAAAAAGTGTATCGACGTTTATAAAATTTCTAAAATTGTGTCGGAAATGTATTGACTGCACAGTTACTTCCCTTTAATAAAAAAAATTCTTAAGAAGAAAGAATTTACATTTTATTACTTTGTTTTTGGTGTTAAGAAAAAAAAAATAATTACATAATTAGCGGGGATTGATTAAGTGCAATGTCGTTAGGTATTTTTAACACTGCCTTTTATTTATTCTATACACTGAACATACTGTTCAATAATTTTTTTTTTTAAATCAATAACATTTAATAAGCCAGGTCCTACAAATCCTATATGTTTATTTCTTTCCATTTACGGATAAGCTTGGAGTATTATCATTTTTGTTCACTAAATTGAAACAGGCGCGTCCGCCGGCGCCCTTGCACGGTTCGATTTGGCACCCTGGGCTATCATGTGAGCGCTATGCTGCACAATTTTGTTTTGAACAGTGCGATAGACAATGGATAAGAAAGGTTACTATAGACTTTAAGTGAATCAAATCCGGGCGTCCTCCGGCACCCCGACAGGGTGCTATTTGGCGCCCCGGGCCTTCCGGTGTACGCTATGGTATCTACGTTCGCGTGAGTTCCAAAGACTATGAATAAGTTATGTACTATAGTCGTTTACTAAGTTCAATCAGGCGGTGACGTCATGGTGCGTCCTCTGGCGCCCAGACAGGGTGCTATTTGGGGTCCCGGGCCTCCCGTGTTCGGTTTCGCGCCTACGTTCATTAAAGTGAGTGCAAAAGACTATGAATAAGTTGGGGTACTATAGTCGTTTATTAAGCTGAAACAGGCGATTCCGCCCCGGGCTAGACTCTGAGCACTGTGCGTTTATGTTCGCGTTAGTGTTTTCTTTGTGTTTAGGTTGGGTTTGCGTTAGTGGTTGCGTTTTGATTTGGTTCGTTTTTGTTCTTTCTTTTTTCGTTTTCGTTTGTGTTTTATTTTCTTTGCGTTTGTGTTTGTATTTGTGTTTGTGGTTGGTTTTGCGTTTGTATTTGGTTTGTTTTCGTTTGTTTTTTCGTTTGTGTTTTTTTCTTTGGGTTTGTGGTTGGTTTTGCATTTGGATTTGGTTTGTTTTCGTTTGCTTTTTCGTTTGTTTTTTTCTTTGTGTTCGTATTGGTGTTTGTGGTTGTGGTTGGGTTAGTTGTTAGGTTTTTGTTTTCGTTTGTATTTGTAATTGTGTTAGCGTTATGTTTGCGTTTTGTTGTTTTGGTTTTGGTTTGGGTGTGCAATGCCGGGTTTATGATGATTACTAAACACACAGGTAATGGTCTTTAACAGAAAGGTTTTTCACAGAAGCCAGAGCAGGGCCTGGCCGGGACGGCTAGTAATATATAAAGCTCAGTTCTGTAACGTGTGGCAAAAAAGTTTGTCGTTGACACTTCTATGGATTTAAGTGTTAGATTTTTTATCGTGCTCACAGTCTAAATTTACGAGTCAAAAAATTACCATTGAAAGTCTTTAAAAACAATTTTCATTCTATTTACTTAGAAGAATAATTTTCAATTATGAAGGCGACATAAAATTTTTAAAAAGTGTATCGACGTTTATAAAATTTCTAAAATTGTGTCGGAAATGTATTGACTGCACAGTTACTTCCCTTTAATAAAAAAAAATCTTAAGAAGAAAGAATTTACATTTTATTACTTTGTTTTTGGTGTTAAGAAAAAAAAAATAATTACAAAATTAGCGGGGATTGATTAAGTGCAATGTCGTTAGGTATTTTTAACACTGCCTTTTATTTATTCTATACACTGAACATACTGTTCAATATTTTTTTTTTTTAAATCAATAACATTTAATAAGCCAGGTCCTACAAATCCTATATGTTTATTTCTTTCCATTTACGGATAAGCTTGGAGTATTATCATTTTTGTTCACTAAATTGAAACAGGCGCGTCCGCCGGCGCCCTTGCACGGTTCGATTTGGCACCCTGGGCTATCATGTGAGCGCTATGCTGCATAGTTTTGTTTTTAACAGTGCGATAGACTATGGGTAAGAAAGGTTACTTTAGTCTTTAAGTGAATCAAATCCGGGCGTCCTCCGGCACCCCGACAGGGTGCTATTTGGCGCCCCGGGCCTTCCGGTGTACGCTATGGTATATACGTTCGCGTGAGTTCAAAAGACTATGAATAAGTTATGTACTATAGTAGTTTAATAAGTTCAATCAGGCGGTGACGTCATGGTGCGTCCTCTGGCGCCCAGACAGGGTGCTATTTGGGGTCCCGGGCCTCCCGTGTTCGGTTTCGCGCCTACGTTCATTAAAGTGAGTGCAAAAGACTATGAATAAGTTGGGGTACTATAGTCGTTTATTAAGCTGAAACAGGCGATTCCGCCCCGGGCTAGACTCTGAGCACTGTGCGTTTATGTTCGCGTTAGTGTTTTCTTTGTGTTTAGGTTGGGTTTGCGTTAGTGGTTGCGTTTTGATTTGGTTCGTTTTTGTTCTTTCTTTTTTCGTTTTCGTTTGTGTTTTATCTTCTTTGCGTTTGTGTTTGTATTTGTGTTTGTGGTTGGTTTTGCGTTTGTATTTGGTTTGTTTTCGTTTGTTTTTTCGTTTTTTTTTCTTTGTGTTCGTATTGGTGTTTGTGGTTGTGGTTGGGTTAGTTGTTAGGTTTTTGTTTTCGTTTGTATTTGTAATTGTGTTAGCTTTATGTTTGCGTTTTGTTGTTTTGGTTTGGGTGTGCAATGCCGGGTTTATGATGATTACTAAACACACAGGTAATGGTCTTTAACAGAAAGGTTTTTCACAGAAGCCAGAGCAGGGCCTGGCCGGGACGGCTAGTACATATATATATATATATATACATATATATATACATATATATATACATATATATACACATATATATATATATATATATATATATATATATATATATATATATATATATATATATATATATATATATATATATATATATATATATATATATATATATATATATATATATATCTAATATATAAAGCTCAGTTCTGTAACGTGTGGCAAAAAAGTTTGTCGTTGACAGTTCTATGGATTTAAGTGTTAGATTTTTTATCGTGCTCACAGTCTAAATTTACGAGTCAAAAAATTACCATTGAAAGTCTTTAAAAACAATTTTCATTCTATTTACTTAGAAGAATAATTTTCAATTATGAAGGCGACATAAAATTTTTAAAAAGTGTATCGACGTTTATAAAATTTCTAAAATTGTGTCGGAAATGTATTGACTGCACAGTTACTTCCCTTTAATAAAAAAAAAATCTTAAGAAGAAAGAATTTACATTTTATTACTTTGTTTTTGGTGTTAAGAAAAAAAAAATAATTACAAAATTAGCGGGGATTGATTAAGTGCAATGTCGTTAGGTATTTTTAACACTGCCTTTTATTTATTCTATACACTGAACATACTGTTCAATATTTTTTTTTTTAAATCAATAACATTTAATAAGCCAGGTCCTACAAATCCTATATGTTTATTTCTTTCCATTTACGGATAAGCTTGGAGTATTATCATTTTTGTTCACTAAATTGAAACAGGCGCGTCCGCCGGCGCCCTTGCACGGTTCGATTTGGCACCCTGGGCTATCATGTGAGCGCTATGCTGCATAGTTTTGTTTTTAACAGTGCGATAGACTATGGGTAAGAAAGGTTACTTTAGTCTTTAAGTGAATCAAATCCGGGCGTCCTCCGGCACCCCGACAGGGTGCTATTTGGCGCCCCGGGCCTTCCGGTGTACGCTATGGTATATACGTTCGCGTGAGTTCAAAAGACTATGAATAAGTTATGTACTATAGTAGTTTAATAAGTTCAATCAGGCGGTGACGTCATGGTGCGTCCTCTGGCGCCCAGACAGGGTGCTATTTGGGGTCCCGGGCCTCCCGTGTTCGGTTTCGCGCCTACGTTCATTAAAGTGAGTGCAAAAGACTATGAATAAGTTGGGGTACTATAGTCGTTTATTAAGCTGAAACAGGCGATTCCGCCCCGGGCTAGACTCTGAGCACTGTGCGTTTATGTTCGCGTTAGTGTTTTCTTTGTGTTTAGGTTGGGTTTGCGTTAGTGGTTGCGTTTTGATTTGGTTCGTTTTTGTTCTTTCTTTTTTCGTTTTCGTTTGTGTTTTATCTTCTTTGCGTTTGTGTTTGTATTTGTGTTTGTGGTTGGTTTTGCGTTTGTATTTGGTTTGTTTTCGTTTGTTTTTTCGTTTTTTTTTCTTTGTGTTCGTATTGGTGTTTGTGGTTGTGGTTGGGTTAGTTGTTAGGTTTTTGTTTTCGTTTGTATTTGTAATTGTGTTAGCTTTATGTTTGCGTTTTGTTGTTTTGGTTTGGGTGTGCAATGCCGGGTTTATGATGATTACTAAACACACAGGTAATGGTCTTTAACAGAAAGGTTTTTCACAGAAGCCAGAGCAGGGCCTGGCCGGGACGGCTAGTATAATATCTATAATTGACGTATATTAATCTATATTTAGACCTATATATATATATATTCTTTCATTTACGTTTACACCTATACATCAGAGGCGTAGCGACCCTTCCCGGCGCCCGGGGACAAACTTTTCTATTTGCACCCCCCGCCCCTCAAGATTTCGATTTGCACCCCCCTCAAACTTTCGATTTGCACCCCACCCCCTCGAGATTTCGATTTGCACCCCCCTCAAACGTTCGATTTGCACCCCTCTCAACCTTTCAATTTATTTTTCCAACCCATTTTGGCGCCCCCTAAGATCGGCGCCCGGGGACATATGCCCCCCCCCTCGCTACGCCACTGCTATACATAGGCGTGTTACATACTTATATGAAGGTTTATATATACCTATATATATATACCTATATATAGAGGTATGTAAAGAGCGTATATTTATTTTGTGATACAACACTTCAAAAATCAATACAAATGTATAGAACTGAGAAGTGTTTTATTTAACTAACAACCAGAGCCTAGCACGATTCTCTCTGTACATTTTTTTTTCAAGGAAGATAAAACCACGTCAAACATCAGGTAATTCTGGCGGATCTAAATCAAGTCAAAAACCTCAATGAAAACAGGGCATTGGTGATCAAATACACAGCTGATAACGTCATGAATGGGACAGAGGAAACATGTTGATATGGTTGAAGTTTGACTGAAAACACGCTTTTTTTGTCTTCGTATGTTGAAGATTACTTCTCAAAAGAAATGGAGGTAAATGTGTTTTTTAAAAATTTAAAAAATATGTTGTAGAATTTGTAATTATGAGGTTGATGGATTTACCTTGCGCTGGGCCCTTGGTTAAAAATAGGCCATAATATGACACGCTCTGATTAACTCTAATTATGTTTGTAATATGATCGAGAACTTGTTGTGTAACACAAGGGAGTACGATAAAGTTTCCTCATTTCTCTTGTATTGCTTTATACAAGATCTGGTAGAGAAATATAATATATAACAATATATGCATATATATATATATATATATATATATATATATATATATATATATATATATATATATATATATATACATATATATATATATACATATATATATATATATATATATATATATATATATATATATATATATATATATATATATATATAAGGCCTATATATAGGGTCTATATGTATATTGTTTTAGATTATTTGAAATATTTCTGCTTTCATTAATGGCTAAGTGATCAAGACAATACGATGACCCTCCATATTTACGCTTGTTTAAAATGTTTACCATCATTCGAAGTGAATGTGTACAATGCCCTTTTGAAAAAAAAAAGATTTAATTCTTCTAGTTTATTTACAAAATAGCATAACTATGGGTAGCGGCTAGTGTTTTCAACGAAAGTTGTATAATTATCCATGCAAGAGATTAGTATCGTGTATGGGTATGTAAAAATTGTCTTATTTTCGTGCTATGTAATATAAAATAATATAAATATAAAATAATATACACTTTTTGGGGCCCGCTGTGTCAGCCGAGTCTGATTCTCCGATATCAAATGCCGTATTATGATTCCAGCCAATCCCATGTTGTAACAAGACACACAAATTTAAAAAAAAAACGTGGCTATCGTTCTATCAAAAATACAAAACTGTAACAACACTTAAGGTAAATTTTGTTGTTGTTATATTTAAAATGTAAGTTTGTTTCGTTCACTCCGAAATTGAAATTTCGAAACCGCCCAGTGACGGCTCATATACATTAACGATGAGGAGGGTATAACTGGGCTAGACTATAGGCCTATAAAATAAATACCGTGGGAATCGATACATTTTTAGAATAACCAAACGTAAAAGAATTTTAATGACTGTATTTATTACTACAACTATAAGCTTTATTGTCGGTATTTTTTAGAGGGAAGAGAAGGGGGGGGGGGGTTCAGGGATAAGGAAAAAGAGTAGGCATTATTAACCAGGTTTAGGTTTCACCCTCCTGTCCCCATCTCTACTGCAATGTTTCTTCCAGGCATCTCTGCGCCCCCCCCCCCTCCCGAACGAAATGGAATTTATATAGATAATATATACTTTTAACAGTATCCGCCTCCCCTCCCCCTGAAATTTTAGTCCGCCCCCCACTTAAGAATTTCAAGAGCCCCCCCCCCCCTGAGAAAAAGGTCTGGAAGAAACAATGCTCTCAACTTGCCTAGTGCAGAAGTTCATGCCTGGTTGGCGAATTGCACGCTTGACTGGCATAAGCAGGAGTAAAGTGTAGATTCAATCTCCATACGGAACCCGACCCAAGTTTATTTCAGGCATCTCTCCCCCCCCCCCTTGAGTTGGTGCATAAAGTTTTTTCACCGACTTAACACGCAGTTATGTTTTGAAATATTTTCTGTTGCTTAACTGGTGAGATGTATAGGTGGGTGTTGTGGAGGTAGTGGGGTGGGGGTGGTGGGTGGGGGGGGGTGAGGGATAGGGAAAGAGGGTAGGCATTGTTTACCCATCAAAATTAGCGGCACGGGTAAGCAAAATTAGATGCACACGTAAACGAAATTAATTGCACACTAAATCAAAATTAGATGCACATGTAAATAAAATTAGCTGCACACGTAAACATAAGCTGCACACTAAATCAAAATTAGATGCACATGTAAACAATATAGCTGCACACGTAAACATAAGCTGCACACTAAATCAACATTAGCAGCACACTAAATCAACATTAGCTGCACACTAAATCAAAATTAGCTGCACACTAAATCAACATTAGCTGCACACTAAATCAACATTAAATGCACACTAAATCAACATTAGCTGCACACTAAATCAACATTAACTGCACACTAAATCAACATTAGCTGCACACTAAATCAAAATTAGCTGCATACTAAATCAAAATTAGATGCACTCATAGACACGTATTACCCGTGTTTACGTGGACTAAAACCTCGATATCATTAAATGTTTTCGCTTTCAAATCAAGCATTAAAAAATAGAGTTTCTAACAAAGAGAAGATGTCTTGTGTGCATAAAAGATCAGTGGCGACAAGCAAACGTAGCTCGCTGATCGACGATGATTGATCGCTGAATCAAGTTACATTATTAGACAAGGGGGAAATAAACTGCTCTGGGCAGGCTTAAATGCTGGGTTTTTTTTAAATGATATGCACTGTATAATACAGTGATATCCACTTAATAAAACTGTGCTGTATCTGCCTTCACACTTTATAATGCAGTTCAATAAGTGATATCCACTTTACAAAATTGCTATGTGTGTTATCCACTTTATAATATAATATTGTGTGTTAACCCCTGTATAAGAACCTCCCCCCCCCCCCCCATCCTCACAGCATAGATGTAATTCTTCGGTCGCAGTGTACATTAATGTTTCTTTTTTACATTAAATTACATAATAATAATAATATATTACTTTGCGCCTGCATTTGTAGGTAGGTCAATGCATGTATACATTCTCTCTATTTATGTAGCCTCTTGCACTCTCTTTATATATATATATATATATATATATATATATATATATATATATATATATATATATATATATATATATATATATATATATATATATATATATATATATATATTGGTATACACATTGGTATACATATTGGTTTATATATATATATATATATATATATATATATATATATATATATATATATATATATATATATATATATAGGTATAAGTATATACATATGTGTACTATAGATATGTATAAAACCTATTTTCGACCACTACTTTTGGATTAACTGCACGATTTTAAATCGAATTGACTACATGTATTACTATTGTTATCGAAATCTAAACTGCGTCAGCACTTAAAAACACGAAACTGAAGTAAAAAACTCAACCAAAACCAAGTTGTCACGATCTAGCTCTACCAGACACACTACTTTATAAATAACACACGCTTTTTTCCGGTTAGGTCGTGTTGTTCATTAGCAATGTGTTAATATATTATCAGCTGGTTCATAACATCATGACGATTCGTTGTTAGTTGTTACATCCGTGGCCGAATTTAATATAGATTTGTTATGGATTAAAGGTGGATTTCCGGCATTAACATTACGAAACACTGGTGCTTGAATAAATACGGTAATACAGTCTGAGTGTGTAGGGCTATTTCCTGTATCTTTCACTGTGTGTGTATGTTAGTTACCGTGGACCGCAGCCGAACCAACCAGCGAGCAGGTTATGAAAGGTGTGTCAAGTTTGTTTTCATTTTGGGGTTAAAGGTCAGAATACTTTTCCCTCATTGAGACGTGTTTGGGTTTGAGCTACTTGTGATATTGTAATCGTGGCCTGAAAGAACTGAAAAAAGGGGATTAAAGGAAATGTACTGATGTTTTAACACATGGACAAATGTCTTAGCAATAATAATAGTGGTGGGTATATGCTGAATCCTACGTTGGTTAATTCTTTCATAGTTAAATTAACTTGAATGAAGATTCTCTTGTTACTAAAAATAGAATAATGTTTTTAATGGCATCTGTTCCACGTATCAAATCTAACGATACAACAACACTAACATTTGTGATTATCTTGAAAAAGACCCCGCCCCCATAAGAAAAATGTTACACTTTATTTATATGTATATATATATATATATATATATATACATAAAAATATTTTCGTGGTGAGGGAGAGGTTAAAACTATAAACCTACATGGACCAACCTCCACCCTCAACTCAAAGGTAGTTACGCAATGCATAATGTTGGTAAACCGCGATATATATGCCTAAAAAGAGTATTATAACACATCAGTACAATTGGATTTTTTAAATATTAACTAATAATTGCTAGGTGATCTCGGCTTTTTTTAAAAAGTAATTTAAAAACAATATAGTTTGATACACAATCTGGGTGGACTCCGTGAAGTTTTACGGGTATGAACCTGGTATTCGAACCTGAGATTTCGGATTAGCAGTCGTATGCTCTAATATCCGACTACACAGTCCCACCCGAACAAATAGTATTGAAAATATATACTTTTACCAGTGTCCGTGCCCCCCCCCCCCGGAAAATTTAGTCCGCCCCCCCACCCCCGAGAGTTTATAGTGCCTCCCCCACCCCCTGAGAAAAATGTCTGAAAGAAACACTGTTTATCAGCCAAAGAAAAACTGAATACTTTCATGTCTGTGTGACTAGAAAAAAAAGGTGTAGATCTATGTAGTGGCGTAGCGAGGTCGGGTGTCACCCCCCCAGAGGCGTAGCGACCCTTTCAAACTTTCGATTTGCACCCCCCCTCGAACTTTCGATTTGCACCCCCCCCCCTCAAGTTTTTCTCTATATATTTTACAATTTTTTGCCTTGGTGTCACCCCCCTAAATGGTGTCACCCGGTGCGGTCCGCACCCTCCGCCCCCCCCCCTCGCTACGCCTCTGGATCTATGTGGCTTGTATCATCTGACAGAAAACTGGAAACTACACTTTTGCTTATGCTTGTACGTGTGTATGCACTTTCTTGAAAGGTATGTTTCCTTGAGATTTTAAATCTGCATTAATTTTAGTCAAGTCATGAGATCAAGTTTGTATTCTTTTTACAATGTGCATTTTTCTTTCTTTGAATGTGAATTTCGGTGGTATGTATAGAGGGATTTTAAATAATTAAGACTGTTGCGACATCCCCACCACCCCTTTGATTTCTGCCCACTTTGAATGAGCAAAACTAGCAATAAATATCACCAGCTTGACGCAAGTTACGCAATGATTAACACCAGTTTTTTTTTTTAAATCAAGCTTGATCAATGGCACAATTTTATTGGAGCCCTTTTGACTGAAGCCCCTTTTTATCGGGAAACTTTTTGTTGCGGAACCAATTAACAGGGTGTGTGAATTTGTATATGGTGTGTGTGGGCGTGTGTGTGTGTGGGGGGGGGCATTTATTTTGAATTTCTTTTCTGCTTCTGTTTGAGAATGTGTTGAAATGGATCAGCAAATTAATCCGAGATTTTAATTATTTCTAGCCCCTTTATATTGATTACACAAATTTAGGTAGCAAAAAAAAAAAAAAAAAAAAAATCAAGTGTAAGGCCAAAGTTAAAATCACAAAAAATTTCTTTGAAAAACACACTTTTTTAAATAGTTTGCAATCTTCTTTCTGATCGCCTATCCACAAAATCGCTATATCCCATGGGTTATATTTCCTACACTTATTTCAGAACTTAAAATAAAGAAATAAATATTTATTTAAAAAGTAACTAAATAACTAAAGATAACAAATCTCATTCTGCATACTCCCCATCCCCGCCTGCATTCCTCAGCACAACCCCTCCCCCAACCGACTCTCCCCTCCTACCCCTGGTGTCCAACACATTTCTGATTTTATATATCGTTTGTAGCGCGGAAGACATTAAAATAAGGTAATTTTTGACAGAACCTTTTTTTTTTTTTTAAATCGCAAGCCTTTTTCTCCGGGCTACTTTTAACCGGGAATATATGCAGTGGCTATGACAAAAATATAAATAAAATAAAATGCACGCCCTATATGGCAAACAGGTGTCACCGTGACGCCGTGGTATGCTTTTATCCTAAGAAGTTTAGCACATGCTCTCCAGACAAGGCATTTTTGTCTTCAGACGTCACGCTTGATGTACTGTAGAATACGGTCACATGGAGGAGAATTGTGTCTATCATTTGATAGGGATTACAACCAGCAGTGTGGCATAGACAGGAATTAGGCAAGGGTGGGGATGTATGGGTGTATGTAGTTGCAAGACTTTCGTGACGATGTGTGACGAGGAAGGGGAGGGATTTAGAGAGTGTGACGAAGCTTTTGCATTTTAAAAAAGTAACTTTAGAAACTGAATTTTATCGTTTCGTGTTTTTAAAAAAAATACGGATTTGTAAATTGTAATATAATTTGACTGATATACTAAATCTTGACCGAGCTTAGTCAATGTTGGAGAAAGTAATAAATGTTTTGAAAACCAAAAATTGCAATTTAGAGGGGTATTGTAGTCTTGGATGTGACGTCATTTTTAGAGAAGGGGGGGGTCTGTTTTTTGTTTGACAGTGTGTGACAAGGGGAGGGAAAGGTTAAAAATTGTAAAAACAAACAAACAACAGCAATAAAAAAAAAACGTGACGTCGTTAATGGATGACCCCTAATGCGACGTACGGTAGCGCTGTCCGTAGCTGTAACTAATCGTGGGACAAGTATCATTTTTGAGACCCTGGGGGGGGGGGGGTTCTAATCCTCACACAAGAACTATGTTCCTGTCTTCAGTGACATAAACAGAGTTTCTTCCAGCCATCTCTTCGGGGGGGGGGGGGTGGCAGAGCCTCCCCGAAAAAGGTCTACCGCCCTCCCACAGACCAGATAGAATTTATATAGAAAATATATACTTTTAAAAGTGTCCGCCCCCCTCCCCCCCCCCCGGAAATTTTAGTCCGTCCGCCCCCCCCCCCCCCCCCCCCCAGAGAAAAAAGTCTGGAAACGCTGGACATAAACATACCTCGCATTTACCTATTTTAGTTTACATCTAACGGAGATGTTTAATACACCAAAATACATTTAAATGTAATGAAGATTTTTAATACTAGCATCAATAAAAAAAATACCCAACAGAAATGCAAATCTTGTTTCTGCAGACACCCTATTCCCGCCCGCGTTTCTCGATACAGCCCCTTGCCGACAGACGTTCCATCCAAACTTCCCACCCCTACTGTCCCCTCCCCCCGCTGTTTGTATATAACGAGGGAGACGGGCCAGACATCGTGATACCCAAGCCTGTGACGTACGCTCGGCAGTCGAGCTTGTCACTAGTTCCACGTCCTCTGAAATCTTCGTTTGGACTTTTTTTTTCGCGTGAAAAAGTCTGCATTTACTTTCAAGGATCTATTTCAACTGTGTTAAATAAAAATTATTCGAATACTTAAATATTAATTGTGAAAAAAAGAATATTTTTAGTTAGTTACAAGTTGAATTGAAGTCATACTTTACTAAGCCATTATTGCGCTCCTTATTAATAATATTATTATAGTTTAATGTTTCATGTGCATGTTTGTTTACTTTTCTAACAATATATTTGTTAAAGATAAACCATTTTATATTTTTTTCTGTCAGAAAACAGCAATGGACAGGTTACCAGTTGGTGACGTCGAAGACCTGGCAACACTTGCCAGTCTGGATGAAAATATTTTGCTGGAGGAGATCGCTAAAAGATATCAGCAAAATAAGATTTATGTAAGATTCTAAAAAAAAAAGTAGACTCTACGACAGTACTAGGAAAAGGAAGACCTAAACATGCTAAATAGAGTATAGTATAGACTATAGATCTATCAATTTTATAATTATTAATTATTATATAATTCAATAAAACTTAAAATGAGAAAAGAAAAAAGTATGTAAATTTACCTAAGCATGCAAATTTAATGAAGTTACTCCCGCATGCAAAATATAAATCTATTTTTTAAAACAAAAGCAAACACAGGTAGATCTAGACATCTAGATCTAGAATCTAGTCTAGATATAATCTAGAAGATCTATACTTAGTATACTAGAGTAGATTCCCTAATTAATTTTTCAGAGTCGAGGTAGATCTAGTTACAGTAAAAGAGTAATGATTTGAAATTTGATGATTTAATTATTTTAATAAGTGTTGACCGAATCACCCAGAAATTTGATCCAGATCTAGATCTAGATTCTATATTTAGATCTAGATCTAAATCTACTATCATTATCAGGGGTCTCCAAACTTTTTAGTCCGAGGGCCGCATTAACTATCAAATTTCAGTTCGGGGGCCAGTTTCTTCCAGGTATGTCTTTGATTTTTCTGGGCAAAGTTCCTCAGCCATCACTAACAAACGATTTTTCCTTGGACAAAAAAATCTCCGCGGGCCGGATGAGAGGACTTCGCGGGCCGCATCCGGCCCGCGGGCCGTAGTTTGGAGACCCCTGATCATTATCATCGTCTAGCTAGTAGACTCTAGGTGTTAAAAATCGTGTTCAGGCTTAGGCCCCCATTTTGTAATGAGGGGGGGGGGGGAATGGTAGATCTATACTCAATACAAAATAACAAAAGACTGTAGATCTAGATCTAGATACAGTAGTAGATACGGTTTGTATGTGTGTAGGGGGGGGGAGGTTAGTCGCACCTTCATTCTTGGAATTTTATCAACTAAAGTTAGATTTTAAACTTTATTTTAGCAGTTATCTTTCAGAGGCTGCAAATTAGCCAAATATCTTACTTACCTTTGTCCAGGTACATCGATCTAGAATCTAGATCTATTTGGAGTTCAGTAGGATTCACTATGTTTTTGTTTAGTATTAATTTTTTTTGGCAAATTCCTGCCCACTTAGTTAACTGTAGGTTATTTATAATGGTTATATCCCTTTAACACAAGGGAAACAACTAAATTAATTCGAAAGATGTTAGATGGAATCTAATCCTTGAAAAAATTTGTTACAATAGGATGTGGGTGGTACAAATAGGTAAAAATAGTATGATTCAATGTGTAGATGCTCTTCTTATTTCAGTTTACTAATTATTGGTCTGTAGCCTATTATTATATAGAATGACAACTTTATATCTAAATGTTACAGTACAATAACTTATAAGTTGGTCTATAGGGCCTAATGTTATTTTTTCTATTGAATTACAGACATATGTTGGAGATATTCTTTTAGCAGTGAATCCATTTGTGCATCTAGGCATATATGGGAAAACAGTATGTATTTTGGATATTACCTGATAGGCCTATACTTAATGCTAAATTCTGGACAGAACAATGACTAAAACAGGTTGATATGTCCGATCAGTGTCAACTCAGATGCTAGTATACTATAGTTATATGTATAATTTGATTTTTGACTTTGCCAGAAGCAATAATTTATACCAACCTCTATTATAGATAGTACCTTCATCTGACTACCAGGATTTTAGGCAGTTGATACAATTGATACAAGCATTTTAATCATGGAAATTAAAACTCACATAAAAATTTTTTAAAATAACTTTTAATTAAATCAGAATCTTATTACATAAACACAATATATTTTGTATTTGAATTTTAATATTGAATCTTTATTAGCCTAGTTTACTTAAGCATACAGTATTTAAGTAATTTCTAATTTAAGACTGCATTACCTGCATGGTTTCTATCAGTTGAAAATAAGGCTGCAGAATGAAAGTAAATACATTATTTCCTACAGGACAGTCAGAGGTACAAGAATATAAAAAAAAGTTCCCACCCTCCCCACATCTATGCTGTGGCTGATGCCACATACCAAGCACTGCTGGGACGTGGTGGGAAGCCTCCAGGCAATCAGTGTATTTTAATCAGGTACGTCTTAATAGTATTACAAGTTAGGTTTTAAAGGTGGGCCTACAACTTAGAGCACTGAAGGCAATCAGTGTATTTTAATCAGGTAAGTCTTAACAGTATTAAAGAGGTATTAAAAGGTAGGCCTATATCTTAGAGCACTGAAGCCTCCAGGCAATCAGTGTATTTTAATCAGGTAAGTCTTAACATTATTACAAGTTAGGTGTTTAAAGGTAGGCCTACAACTTAGAGTTAGAGCACTGAAGCCTCCAGGCAATCAGTGTATTTTAATCAGGTAAGTCTTAGCCTCCAGGCAATCAGTGTATTTTAATCAGGTAAGTCTTAACATTATTACAAGTTAGGTGTTTAAAGGTAGGCCTACAACTTAGAGTTAGAGCACTGAAGCCACAAGGCACTCAGTGTATTTTAATCAGGTAAGTCTTAACATTATTATAAGTTAGGTGTTTAAAGGTAGGCCTACAACTTAGAGCACTGAAGGCAATCAGTGTATTTTAATCAGGTAAGTCTTATCATTATTATAAGTTAGGTGTTTAAAGGTAGGCCTACACCTTAGAGCACTGAAAGCAATCAGTGTATTTTAATCAGGTAACTGTTAGTTGAGCGCTTTATTAAAGATATTTTAAATATTTTATCATTACCCTGGACATATTCCTATCCTAGGCACTTACTAAAAAGTTAATACTAACACTATCCTTTACTACAGTTGTTACCGTTATTGAATAAATTTGAATAAAGTAACTCTTGTATTGGTACACGAAGAAAATATCCCTGATATAATATTGGATTGCACTTCTTGTTCTTAAATCTCAACCATGTGTTATATCAATTTATTTTCAAATAAAATATACTATTAAGAAATATTTGTAATTTATTAATAGTATATTTCAATTGAGTCTGTGACTTTCTTCTATTAGTAATGTAAATGCTTCACTTTCTGAGTGATCATCTTAACAAAAATCATTTATCGACCACAACTAAAAGAGTTTTTGTTATTTACATCTTTTTCTGTAAATATTTGGATGTATTTTATAGCTTATGAAAGATATAGTTAGCATTCTGCAAAAAATATTTCAGTGGGGAGAGGGGATGGGTGGGGAGCTGGTAAAACAGAAAACACCAAACTTAAGAAACATTTGCTATAAATATTTCAGTGGGGAGAGTGTTGCTGTTAATACAGAAAACACCAAACTTATCAAACATTTGCTATAAATATTTCAGTGGGGAGAGTGGGGCTGGTAAAACAGAAAGCACCAAATTCATCATCAAACAGCTGGTGGAACTGTGCAGAGGAAACACACAATTGGAGCAACAGATTTTACAGGTGTGGAAAGTAGTTTCTACATTGCGTTTTTGTAAATATTATTAAGTGCTGAACACGAAATATAAATTAACTAACTAAATATAACATTGACTACCATTTAGTGTGAGATAAGTCACTGTTGTCCTTCAGTAATTAAATATAACAACGGCCAATAGGGACAATTACATATTTAATTCATCATTGAATGTTAAAATTATTATGATATTTTAAATCACCAGGTCAACCCATTGCTGGAGGCCTTTGGGAATGCTCAAACAAATCTCAATGACAATTCCAGCAGATTTGGGAAGTACATTCAGCTCAGGTTCAACCATGGACAGTGTAAGCTCAGCAGTTTAAAATTTTAAGAATTAAAAAAAAACAACAACATGGTGTTATTATTTTACAACAGAAATTGAATATAATTATATAATTAATTTTCTTTTTTATTACTTTATTTAGTGGCCAGTGGAAAAATTTCCGAATATCTTTTGGAAAAATCGCGAGTGGTCAGGCAGAACCCTGGAGAAAAAAACTTCCACATTTTCTACTATCTCTTCTCTTCTAAAATGAACAAAAAATTAAACTTAGGTAGCTGCAACAGTTATAGGTCAGATATTTGTTTTTTGTGACAGATTAAAACTTGTTAATGAAAAAAGTTTAAATAAATGCTATTATATTTAACTTAAGGTTAAAACAGCCTATATTCTACAAACTTATTTATTTTCTTTTTAGAGTTTCAGTATCTAAACTTTAGATAGTCACCTGAAAGAAGAACTGTAAGCCCTACTGCTTGACAGTAAAATACTGATGTTTATACATCACCTACTAAAAACAGCCTTAAATTAAATTTAAGACATGCCTTCATAATTTCCTGGTATTTTTTTTAGGTATCTGTTGAATCAATTACAGAAAAATAGTGTTTCTGAACACTCAGATGCCTATAAGCTTGAAACTTTGATAAATGCAATGGATTTAGTTGGCTTCACTGATTCAGTGAGATATTTTGTTTTCATTAGTTAAACGTGTAGATATAGTTAAATGATTATAATGTATCAGAAAATTGTATTTTTAATCATTATTTATAAATTTTAAATTAACATATTTGCAATTAATTCAATTTACTTACTTAGTAAAAATTATTTGACATTTTTATTTATCTTGTTGTAACTTCTTGGACTTATATATAATATATGAAAAAAAAATTTAGCCATTTAATTCACAACAGTCAGTTAATAGCCCTAAAGTTTATATTGTGTTCTGAAACACAGGAGCAAGAGGATATGTTTTCAGTTATAGCCAGTGTTCTCCATCTAGGAAATATCGATTTCTCAGTTCAAGAGGATGACAGCGTTAGTTTGTCAGACAGGGATGGATCATTCAAGACAGCAGCAGTAAGTTTAGCTATACACTAAATTTTAACGAAATAAAAATCAACAACAGCCTAAGTGTTAGTCCATAAATGGCATCACACTCCAAGGTAAGGTGGGGGAAAGGTTCAGTAAGACACTGCATTTTAAAGTATAGTTCAAACTGAATGTTAGCCGTTATTTAATTTAAAACAAACAAACAACAGCTGTTTTCTTACATCTTAAATAGAAATTGATTAACTCACTATTAACTGAGCTCAGTAAATATTTTAGAAAGAAATTGAAGTTGCAATTAATTAAAAAATTATACATATAAAAACAATATTAAAATAAATACCACTAAAAATATTACTAATTAAAAGAATTTAAACATTTTTTCCCCAGAATCTGTTAGGGCTTGAAGCCATTGACTTTGAAAAATGTCTGACCTGTATGACAAATGTGACAAACGGTGAAACTGTTAAGAGAAATTACAGCAAGCAAACAGCGGAGGGTACGTAGAGATGTCGAATACTCTCATAATGTTTTTACTCTTTTGCCGTGTATTAGTATATCTCTAGTGGGCCTATTCTAATCACATAAGTAGATGATTGAGAAGCTGATGTTTCATCATATCTACAGCTGATAGCATTGGGTTTTCATAATGCCTCTCACATTGGAATAAAAATTCAATTATATAAACATTTATTCAAATTACTTGTATTTTTTTTTCCTGAAATGTTATAGTAAATACATTTGTTTGGTATTAAATATCCTGAAAATTTAAAATTGGTTGTGATTTTTTGCTTTTTGGTGACAGCTGAATTAAAACATGCAGATTTTAAAAACATGGTTAAAAAATGATCTCAGTGAATTATGCATGTCAAGTCAATAGATGTTTCACAATTTACCAAACTAAATAAAACTTTGAATGAACACAAATGTTATAGCAGCCTATATATAATTGTATTTTCATATGTTATTAATTTGTTTCAGTTGTTTTTAAACATAAATAAATAATATTTTTTTTTCTTTTATGATACATTATGTCATAAACACTAACCACAGCAAAAAGGTTAACAACAAAAAGTATTGAAATACAAACGCAACTTGTTATTAATTTCCTAATACTTCCACAGATGTCCGTGATGCCATAGCTAAAACTGTGTATGGACGTTTGTTTGGTTGGATTGTGAATAAAATCAACTGCCTGCTGCTACCTGATGATCAAAGAGATCCCTTAGGTTCAGAAATTGGTAAGCGTAACTTATTAATACCCATACATTTGTTTTTACACTTTCTACTATTTAAAATTACTAATGTATAAAATGTGTATAAATGTACATTTAATGCAATTTAGATTACACTGTATGCTTAGAAGGCACCAGAGACACCTCTAACACTCTGGCCTCTAAATATAATGGTCTTCATTTTTCTATCATCGACTGCAGTGAATTTTCAAGTATCTCCCTTGCCTTGTGATTCTATTAAAAAAATTTAAATCAAAATATTATTGTTTTTTCATTAAGAATGCTAGATGTATCTATCGCCTATTTATTTGTTTGAGATAGGACCAATGAATGAACCAAGACATACTCAAATGTTTTCTTCTTATTCTTGTGAATAAAATTATACATAGAATGACTACCTGTGATAACTATTTCTGGATTTCTTTTTCTATTCATTACATGTTAAATTTTTTTCTTTTCATAAAATAACTTTTTGCTATTCAAAACTTAAGACAAATTGGACACATTTTACAAAATCTTAAATTTTTTTTTTTTTTTTAATTTGATAGGAATTCTAGATATTTTTGGTTTTGAGGATTTCACAAAGAATGAGGGCAGCAACAGCTTTGAACAGGCTTGCATCAATTTGGCCAACGAGCAGCTTCAGTTCTTCTTCAACCAGCACATCTTCTACATGGAGCAGGAGGAGTACAGGAAGGAAGAGATTGACTGGAGTGAGATAGGTTTTGTGGACAACAAACCTTTGCTGGTAGGTTGGCCTAGGTTTTGTGTAGGTTTTGTGGACAATAAATCTTTGCTGGTAGGTTGGTCTAGGTTTTGTAGACACCAAGCCATTGCTGGTAGGTTGGCCTAGGTTTTGTGCAGGTTTTGTGGACAACAAACCTTTGCTGGTAGGTTGGTCTAGGTTTTGTATAGGTTGGTTGCCACACATTTTGTGGACTATAAACCATTACTGGTAGGTTGGCCTAGGTTTTGTGTAGGTTTTGTGGACAACAAGCCATTGCTGGTAGGTTGGCACACATTTTGTAGACTATAAACCATTGCTGGTAGGTTGGTCTAGGTTTTGTGTAGGTTTTGTGGACAGTTGATCTTCTAAAGTAAAGCAAAGTTGACTTGAAATATTACTGTATGTGTTGTTCTACCTATTCTAGTCTGACAATTAAAGGAGAAAAATAAAAGGCAGCAGATAGACCTATACATACATACATACCTGTGTACATATTTGGCAAACGTTTACAACACACAAAAATCTTTGTCATATTTCAGGATCTATTTTTAGCCAAACCCATTGGATTGCTCTCACTTCTGGATGAAGAAAGTCTTTTCCCAAAGGTAAACAATTGATTGCATCACAAATTGTGTTTTTTTAATAAATATTTTTTTTGTCTCATCAAGACATAAAAAAGTTACTGTTCTTTAAATATTCGTTCTTTGCTTAAATTGGTAAATATTATTTTTATCCACAAAATTTTCTTACTGTGTTGGCCTATTCACATAACTTTTATAATGGTTTAAACAGAGTGAACACAATTCTTAAATATTATGATTTATTTCTATAGGGCACAGATCAAAGTTTTGTGGCAAAGCTGAACATAGCATTTGGGGGGAATCAGTACTATGTGAAGTCTCAACAGACTAACATAGCCAAGTTCTCCATTCAACACTATGCTGGCAAGGTATTTACAATCATGTTTTGCTTTATCTTGAATTAACAGCCAACATTTAAAAAAGTTTTTAGCAGACTGTGTTTATGCTTTAATAGTCATTTGACAATTTTACATAACAAAAAAAAAGTAACCACATACACATATAGGCCTACACCATTTTTAATGTTTAATTTTTCACTTTTTAATAAAAATACTTTTAATATGATGAAGCTCTAAATTGAAGCAATGGTTTTATTTAATTTAACATATGTTTATGCAAATGTTTCTGATAGCATAATTAAATGCATACAGGTCCTGTACACAGCTGACCAGTGGCTAGAGAAGAACAGGGACACTCTCCCACCTGGGACCATAGATCTGATGCAGTCCAGTGTAAATACTCTCATAAAAACCATTTTTAAAGGTTTGACTTTTTGGTTTTGCTCAGTGTACTTTTTTTATTTCTCTGCTCCCAGTGTGTCACTGTATTGTATGGCAGTAGGTAAAATAATTTTTTAGGATAAGGGCTGAAGCTAGGGTTATTATTAGATAAGGGTTAGAACTTAAAGTTAGTAGACCTAATAAAGGTGTTTGAAGAATCAAATTTAAATACTAATTTTTCTGTCAAACTAAACAGAACCACAACCATAACTGTCTAGTACAAAATATCTCACACAAATTGTTTGGAAGCATATAGTTACCCAATTTGTAATGGGTGAACTCTATTTCAAAAGGGAACTTTATTTTTTACTGAATTTTTATTTTCACTGTTAACAAAAATCTAAAGCCTGATATTTCCACAGTTTAATATACTTGATAAATATGTTTTTATTGTGAAAAATAGTATTTCTGCAATGCATCATTAAGAATATTTATTAACGTAGCCTTAAAAAAATAAACCATTTGTTGTTGAATACACATCCACAGGTCAGATTTCTAGAACTGGAAGCCTGGCTTTACAAGGCAGAAGGGCATTCTCCAAAAATTTAAAGGTTTGTGTTAAAATATCACTTTGTTCAAATCACTTCTGCTTTATTTTAATTTTGAAATAAGATAACAAAACAAATAATTATCCAGCATCTTGGAACAGTTTTAATTTAAAAATTATAGTTCCCTCCCTTCCCCACATACTGTTTTATTAATATTTGTAAGTATCTCATGCCTTGTCTCATTTTGTAATGCCCAGAGGCGTAGCGACCCTTCCTGGCGCCCGGGACAAACTTTCAATTTGGTGCCCCCCCCCCCCCATATATTTTTTATATTTATAATGCAAAACTGCAGCTACAGTGAGCTTTAAATTTTTTTCCAACCCATTTTAGCGCCCCTGAGGGTCAGCGCCCAAGGACATATGTACCCACTCCCCCCCCCCACCACCACCACCACTACGCCTCTGGTAATGCCACCACCCTTTAGCTTCTCAAAGATTTTTTTATTATAGGTTAAGGCTAATCATGACACAGCCAAAAGGAGCCCTACAGTCAGTGCTCAGTTTAAGGTAAATGAAAAACCATAACAAGCTTGCGTTATTAGTTATGTTCTAGTAAATGGCCATTTTGACATTAAATTTACACCAATTATTGCTAATAGATGATTATTCTAAATATACACCAGTTCTTAAATATTGAATTCCAGTTTTAATATTTAAAAAAAATTGTATCAATTATTCTTGAAATATACACTAATTCTTTACTACTCAATTCCTGTTTTAATATTTAATTTGTATCAATTATTTACTAGTATCTGACTGTAAAAGCATTAAATTTATATTTATTATTAGTAAATGACTATTTATCACTAAATTTGTGTGTCAAAGTTTGAAACTTTTAATAATGTTTTTCATAAAAGAACTCCTTAAATATTTTGATGGAGAGAATGACCGCAGCGTCCCCAGTGTTTGTCAGGTGTTTGAAACCAAATCACCTGAAGCAGCCAGGTGTGCTGGATAGAGAGTTCATCCATGCGCAGGTGAGAATACCTTATGTGTGCTCTAACTCTGCATGTTCACAATCAGGGCAATGCTAGGATGCAGGAAAATGGCTGGCGTCGATATAACCATTCATCGTCATCTTTTCCCGCTCGTGCCCAAGACACATGGGGCAGATGAAGTAGAGTTCATCTTCTTCAGAGACCTTGACATATGAAGGGATAGTGTGGTCTGCACTATGCCCAGCCTTTTTGTTTTCCCTAAAGTGAATTAGGTACCTATCAGGGACTGCCTTGAACCTGGATTTAAACTCGAGACTTTTAGGTTAGCATTCTAGCTCTCTACCACTAGACAACTCATTCTCACAATATAACCATTATCTACATTCTTTTTCAGCTTCTGTACACAGGAATGTTAGGAACTGTTGAAATTCGCAGAAAAGGATTTGCCATTAGGCCAACATTTGCCCACTTTATTGAGAAGTAAGTGCTGATTTAAGTTGTTTTTTTCATTACTATCTTATATAATTTACCTAACCTGCTTGAAAAATAAGCCTTTTTGTTTTTAAATTTCCAAAGAATAGATAATACTAATTGAAATAAAAATACTAAATACTTTTACAATATTCTTAATGCTAATGTAAAGACTGTTAAGTTCACTCAGGTCACCAGAATGTGTTTATTATTTTTTTCCCCTCTAGGTACAAAGTCCTCCTTGATATAAATCTCCCACCCACAGCGCAGAGCTGCTCAGCCCTGCTAAATTATACAAAGTGTCATGGTTGTGTTATAGGGTAAGCCAAAATGTAAAACCATTAGGGAACAAGGGTGGTCACTTAGAAAAAACAACTTATAGATTAGGTAATTAGGCAGTTACCTCCCTTTGTCCATAAGGTCAGCCTTTGGAAATAAAATAGGAAAATGAAATTACTTTTAAGAGGAAAATATAATGTGGCAACCTGAAAATAAAAAGATGTCATATTTTGGTGATGTATTGTTGATTAGTCTCTATACCTTCACATAATCTGAGGTTACCAAAGTTGCCCCGGGGAAATTCCTCCCTTAAAAATTTTAAAAATATTTTATAACTCACCATAACGCATACATTTAACTCTGACCACTACAACTGGTTTCATCCCATTTGAACTTGTCTATGGCTAGAGCCCTAAGGGTCCCATGAATATCATGAAGTTTCTACTTATCAATGGTAAACTAAACCCTGAAATTAAGTTGACATCTGAACAGGTTATAAGTTTGAGACATCAAATCATTGATTTGTGTGAAGTAGCTAAGGATAAGGCTGACCTTTAGAGAGCAAGAATGAATGTAGGTAGGAAATCAAGGAAGTTTGAGGTTGGAGATGAGGTTATGGCAGCGGCGTAGCGAGGTTGGGTGTCACCCGGTGCGGCACTTAATGGTGTCACCCCCCAGAGGCGTATCGACCCTTTCGATTTGCACCCACCGCCCCCCCCCCCTCAAACTTTTGATTTGCACCTCTTAAAAGACCATTTAACACTCGAATTAATAACTTAATTAAGTGGAATTATCATTTTTCTCTATATATTTTGCTATTTTTTGCCTTGGTGTCACCCCCCAGAGGCGTATCGACCCTTTCGATTTGCACCCACTGCCCCCACCCCCCTTAAACTTTTGATTTGCACCTCTTAAAAGACTATTTAACACTCGAATTAATAACTTATTTAAGTGGAATTATCATATTTCTCTATATATTTTGCTATTTTCTGCCTTGGTGTCACCCCCCTAAATGGTGTCACCCCCCTAAATGGTGTCACCCGGTGTGGTCCGCACCCGCCCCCGCCCCCCCCCCCCCCCCCCCCCCCCCCCTCGCTACGCCTCTGGGTTAGGGTACTGCTACTTTTAAGTCAGAACGAAATACAATTAGCCTGGAGAGGTCCTTATACACTCTCTAGAACAATAACATGTGTCGATTATGAAGTGATCGCAAATGCTAAAAAGAAAATCTTCCATATTAAAATACTAAGCCCTTTCAATATGAGACGTTCTGATGCAGAGGCGTAGCGATGGGGGCGGGGGTGGGGTGGGCAGGGGGGGACATATGTCCCCGGGCGCCGACCTTAGGGGGCGCCAAAATGGGTTAAAATGGGTTGTAAAAGCAAATAAAAATGTCAATTTAGCTGCATTTTTGCAGTTTGGGGGGTGGGGGGTGCAGATCGAAAATTTGAGGGGGGTTGCAAATCGAAAAGTTGAGGGGTGGGGGGTGCAAATTGAAAATTTGCTCCCGTAGGGGGGGGGGGGGCGGCTCCAAATTGAAAGTTTGTCCCCGGGTGCCGGGAAGGGTCGCTACGCCTCTGTTCTAATGTAGAGACACCTGAACATAAAGCCATGATTAAATGTGTTATGGTAAACGAGGAAAATGACCAGCCTGTTTATCTTGCAGCTGTTACTTACTTTAAAATATTTACAAAACAATTTAAGTGTTCCATGACAAATTATCTCAGACAAAATATCCCAGACAAAATATCTCACGGACAAAGGATCTCAGGACAAAATATCTCAGGACAAATTGTCTCAATGACAAATGATCTCAGACTGAAAATGTATACTTACTCGTATATGCGAAGTATACAGGGGCGGAACTACCATACCGCCAGAACCCCCTATGCGTGGTGGGGGGGGGGGGGGGGGGGGCAGGCCGTTTAGGGACCTAAAATCACGACTAAAAAGCAATTACTTTGTATTCCAAAATTACGTTTTCGTGCACCTTAATAATGGTTTTGTAAAAAAAAAAACTACTACAGGAGTGATGTTTTACAGTAGCTAACCACGCTGTTGCGTAAAAGAAAAAAAAAATCTACATAAGCTTTAGTGTGCAAGATAAACAACCATTCAAACCACTTCCATGACTTATTTCCCTCTTTTTAAATTGTCATATATATATATATATATATATATATATATATATATATATATATATATATATATATATATATATATATATATATATATATATATATATATATATTTACTTTCTCATATAGAGAAAGTATTGTAATCGTGCAAAAAAAAAAAATCGAGAATTTTACTAATCTTGACGTTTCACACCGCACTGATACGGAAAAACATAATTTGCAATCTTGTCCGTATGTCTGTGTGTCTGTCTGTGTGTCTGTGTGTAAACACGATAACTTGAGTACCGTTACAGCTAGGTTGATGAAATTTCATATATAAGTATTTTATCAAAATCGTAGATCCTGATCAACTTTTGAGCGATTTCCGATAACCGGAAGTGGTACTTTTTCTACTTTGAATTTTTCAGAAGCCTATAACTTAATATATATATGCGTAGTATATATATGCGTAATATTTTAGATAGATGCATGAAATTTCACACGTAAGTTAAAGATCTAATTCTCTACCTTCTGTCAAATTTTGAGTAATTTCCGTTGACCGGAAGTACTAATTTACGCTATTTCCGATTTCTCAAAAAACGCATGTATATTTATAAAGTACTAATAATATCCCGCACTTTTATTATTGGTGTGGGACGGAGTGGTCTAGCGGAGAGAGCTTGACTGCTAACCCGTTAGTCACGAGTTCGAATCCAGGTTCAAGTCAGTAGACCGTCCCTGAGTCCACCCAACTCTGATCGGTACCTAACTCCTGTTAGGGAAAGTAAAGGCGGCTGGGCATAGTGCTGACCACACTATCTCTTCATATGCCGAGGTCACAGAAACAAGTGAACTCTACTTCACTTGCCCCATAGACCGTCAGGTTTGAAAGGGAAACTTTTCACTTGGTGTGCAATTCTTTTTTTACGAGATTCTATTCTATTATAAAAAGTTTAAGTAATTAAAAATGGATAACAAATATTGTCTATGTCCTGAGTTGCCATCCCTCGTAATTTTATATTATAAAATTCGAGAAAGTTTAGAGGAGATCACTCCCGGTTTATTAAAAAAAGTAGTGAAATAGTAACCAGGTATATTTTAAAGAATATATTACTCGTGATTTGATAGAATACTTAGGTATGGAAAGAAACGGAGGTGTAAGAAATCGTAACATGGAAGGCAGTTGATATTTTCTGCTAAATTTGGTCTTTTTGGAAACGTATTTGTCGTATATAACTAAACATTATTAAGAATTACTGCTGTCGTAAATGTATGGTTGTCTGCACATCTAAATCACTTCCGTACAAGATTTCGACTAGTGGAATGGATATGGATATTCCCTAAGCGCACCGCGCTGCGCTCGGGTGGTGTTAACATTTTTTGGTGTGGATACGGATATTCACCAAAAATTAAACTACGTTAAAACAAATGTCGCAACGCTCTCACGGACGTTCGCACATATTTCCCTTTCACCCTAAGCCATGCAAGAATTGATGAACACGCTTTCCCGGTCGTCCGCACCCAGTCTTCTTCAAGTTCAGCGGTGGGAGCTTGCGAGTTTCTTGCCTTGCAGCAGAAATGGATGTTCGCAATAGGGTCGATATCTAAGACTGCTTTGACAAGTGCGATTTTCCGAAGTCTTCTTCAAGTTTCGCAGCTAACCTTGAGTTTGTCTGTCTGGCTAAAACTTAAGAGTGACCGTGTTAGGACCACTGCCCTAGCGGAGCTTGCTAATGTCTTGCCTTGCCGCAGAAATGGGAGTGTTCGCACGAGGGTCGATATCTAAGACGGCTTTGACTAATGCGATCTGCTGAAGTCTTCTTCAAGCTTCGCAGCTAACCTTGAGTTCGTCTGTCTGGCTAAAACTTAGTGACCGTGTTAGGATCACTGCCCTAGCGGAGCTTGCTAATGTCTTGCCTTGCCGCAGAAATGGGAGTGTTCGCACCTAGGGTCGATATCTAAGACGGCTTTGACAAATACGATCTTCCGAAGTCTTCTTCAAGTTTCGCAGCAAACCTTTAGTTTGTCTGTCTGGCTAAAACTTAAGAGTGACCGTGTCAGGACCACTGCCCTAGCGGAGCTTGCTAATGTCTTGCCTTGCCGCAGAAATGGGAGTGTTCGCACGAGGGTCGATATCTAAGACGGCTTTGACTAATGCGATCTGCTGAAGTCTTCTTCAAGTTTGGCAGCTTACCTTGAGATCGCCTGTCTAGCTAAATTTTTGAGTGGCCGCATTAGGACCAGTGTTCTTTCCTGTGTTTTTCTCCAGGGGTTGAGAGGTGGGGGCACTTGAAATTTTAGGGGAGGGGGGGGGTGGAAACTATGAAAAGTATATATTTTCTATATAAATTTTATTTCTTTCGTGGGAGGGTTTAGATTGTCTGTCTCGTTAAAACTTAGAGTGACCGTGTTAGGATCACTGTCCATGCGGAGCCTGCGAGCCTGCGAATGTCTTGCCCTGCCGCAAAAAAAAACGTGTCTGTTCGCACTAGGGGCGATATCTAAGACGGCTTTGACAAATGCGATCTACAGAATTCTTCAAGTTTCGCAGCTAACCTTGAGTTCGCCTGTCTGGCTAAAACTTAGAGTGACCGTGTTAGGATCACTGCCCATGCGGAGCTTGTAAATGTCTTGCCTTGCCGCAGAAATGGGAGTGTTCGCACTAGGGTCGATATCTATTCTAAGACGGCTTTGACGAATGCGATCTTCCGAAGTCTTCTTCACGTTTCGCAGCTAACCTTGAGATCGTCTGTCTCGCTAAAACTTAGAGTGACCGTGTTAGGATCACTGCCCATGCGGAGCTTGTGAATGTCTTGCCTTGCCGCGGAAATGGGAGTGTTCGCACGAGGGTCGATATCTAAGACGGCTTTGACAAATGCGATCTATAGAATTCTTCAAGTTTCGCAGCTAACCTTGAGATCGTCTGTCTAGCTAAAACTTAGAGTGACCGTGTTAGGATCACTGCCCATGCGGAGCTTGTAATTGTCTTGCATTGCCGCAGAAATGGGAGTGTTCGCACGAGAGTCGATATCTAAGACGGCTTTGACAAATGCGATCTATAGAATTCTTCAAGTTTCGCAGCTAACCTTGAGATCGTCTGTCTCGCTAAAACTTAGAGTGACTGCGTTAAGACCACTGTCCAAGCGTTTTATGTGTTAATCAATGACGAATTAGTATTGTTTACTTTTTATTAACATTGTCTCATAAGGATTTTGTTCTTTTTGCATTGTTTTCCAGTGATATTTTTTGTGTTACTTATATGTTCTCAAGTGTGTTCTTGTCACAACCCTAACCATGGTTACATAATTAAAGTTGTGTTTGTTTGTACGTTCGAATATGCGTTTATTTTTATTTTCCGTCTTTAAATAAAATTTAATGCATCCAGCATATTCTTTTCAATTAAAACTATCATTAAATTATCAAATTATCGATATATTGCTGTAGGTATGAATCTCATAGTCTCGGATTGGTAAATATTTTGTGGAGAGAGAGAAAGAAGTGCATATGGGTTTTTATTTGTAAAGATACACTGTCTTCGAGTCTTGACCTATATGAAAAGTTTAAAATAACTCTGTGATGGAAGATACACAGAAGAATCAAGGTAAGAATGAGAGAAAAATGATCGTAAAGCACTACTTCTGGTCACTTGAGCAAAATTAGATCGACAACAATGATTTTTGTGTGTGTGTGTGTGTGTGTGAAATTTCATGGATCTATAAGACAAATCGAAGGTAGAATAAGTTCCACTTCCGGTTATCGGAAATCGCTAAAGAGTTGAAACGGACTACAAATTTGATGCAATACTTAAGGTTAAAATTTCATCAACCTATGAGTAACAGTACTCATAAGGACACATTTACTAAACTTAATTTTTCCGATTAAAATGTTTAGATTTGTATGTGGGCTCGGTTCGAACTCGAGATTTTCAGGTTAGCAGTCTAGCGCTCTACTGCTTGGCCATTCTGTATTATGATTTAGTAGCAGTTATTAATAAACTAGCTGCATATCCGTGCTCCGCCACGGTGAATCATTTTAAATGTAAAAACTTGGGAACTGAATAAACCTAAACATAAACGCTTACACCCGTGCTTCACAAAGGTGGGGATATGGATATTACCTAAGAGTTTATCGCGCTGCGTGTGGATGGGGGTCACCACATTGAGGCAAAAATTCCTTCAGCGCAACGCGCTGCGCGCGGGTGTCGGTAGCACTTTGGTGCGAATATGATATTCACGAAAATGCAACTACAATAAAAAAAATAATTGAGAGCCAACGCTCTCACGAACGTCCGCCAGACATCTCCCCGAACCAAAGGCGCAATTTAAACCGCCGCCAAAAAAAACTTGTTTTCCCGGCCGTCCGCGCCCAGGGAGAGAATTCCAAAATCTAGCGATGACACGAGGAGGGAAGGAATGACTATCAGCCCGCTTATATTATAGATAATCTTGATTCTCTAAGATACATACAGTCCAATGGATATTTGGCTTAAGGAAGGAAATGTAAAATCTGATTATTTTTTTTTGCAGTAAAACCAAAGTGTTCCTCAAGCATCATCACATAGAGCATCTGAACGAGCTGATGGACAAATTAACACAGCTTGTTATCATAGCACAGAGAGGTTTACAAGCTTTTATTTAACTTGCTTCCTCTGTCTTTCTGTTTATCTTTCTCTCTGTCTAGATCAAAATGGGCACACGAAATTACAAGCACTTTCTAACCGATATTTCTCTGAAATTCGGCACATGGGTCAAGACTTGAATACCATGCAATATGACATTGAATTTGAATTAATTGGATGGCTAATAAAATTTTTAAAAAATTATTAGGCTCTCCTACTGTTCGCTTTTCTTTATAGTTATTTAAATAGTAGTGTATTATAGAAAAGAAAATCATTTGGTTTTTTCCTTTTTAGTGCATTATTATGTAGACGCTTGTTATTTAACTGTTTTTTAACAAAAAAAATTCTGTTATAGCTCTTCACCAGTCAATGAGTCATTTAGTGATACCTGGTTATTTTTAGATTTTTCTTTAACCCTTTATTTATGGAATTAGGTTCCGAATGATATTTTTTCTTAAACAATGTGCTATCATATTGCTTTTGGCACACTTAAAGCATATGTCAAAGGAAATTTAGTTTCATAAATTATTAATTGCCCAAACAAATATTGGTTTGAGATATGTACTGAATGATTGTGAACTACCGATAAAGCAAGAGATTAAAATGGCATCGCACCAGAAATTTTCAAAAACATCGATCCCTCCACCTACCAGTGACTCAGGGAAGATGATACTATTAACTAAATCATTAGTTTTTAAAATTCGTCTTAAATTAAAAATAATACAGGTGCTGAGTTAAAATGGTACTTAAAAGTACCGTCAATAGATAAAGGGTTAAAGCATTTTTTTTTAGCTGCACAGTTTTCTAGAACTGGAATGTCAGTTTTACTGTAGACTGTCTGAAACAACAATCAAAATTTTAATCTAAATTTTTAGACTAGTTTTCAAAGTGTAAAATACTAGATCTATATTGAATTCTTAAATTAAAAAAAAAAAAGTGAAGCACAAAAATTATAGAGAGGAGATTGATAAAGATTGTAACTTTCTTTTATTAACAAAGTATCTGTTAGTTACAGCAGCCTGGCTCAACCATTAAGCTCATTGTATAATGAAGGGGAGGGGTCGACATGCATTGTAGAACTCTGTTCTATAACAATAAAATGTTATATTTTTACAAGCTGTGCCTCTATAAAAACCGAATTAATGTTTAATTTTAAGAGTAATTAATAAAAAAATAATATTTCTAGTGGCGAGAGGGTACATTGCTAGAAAGATTGTGAAAAAATGGAAAGAATTATTAAAACAAATTGAGCAGCAAAAGCATGAGGCGGAAGAGAAATTAGCCAAGCAGCGAGCTGAAGAGGAGAGTCGATGGAAAAAGTCTCTAGAGGATGGTAAGTCAAGATATCACAGAAGTGGACTGGCAGTTTAAAAAATAATCCAGTTCAATAATTGAGACAAACATATTAAAATTTAATTCTGAGAGTTTCTTTTCATCTTATTTTAAATATGCTTAAAGCTATAATTGAATGTTTACAAATTAATTTTACTGCAATGTTACATCAACTGAACTTCTACTTCTAGTTTAAAATAGTCTCACATTCATTTTTAAAAATATATGACCACTCACAGATTTTTGTGTTTTACATTTATGATTAGTCAGTCGTATTTACCATTAAACAGAAAGATTCTTTCATCCAAAGACTGTTTGATATGGAACAATGTTTTAAAATATATGTGACATGCGATTCTTAAATTTATTTGCGTGTGATTTCTGTTACAGCTGCACAAAATGGGGAATCAGGTGCTAACACATTGATCAATTACATTGAGCCCTCCCCTCCCTGGATCGAGGTATTGAACCTGTTAATATTTAATTTTTTTGTGTGATCGAGTTGTTTTATATTATTTAAGCTTTTTATGACTAACTTGTTTTCTGTTATTTAAAACCTTAATTTTTATGATCAGATTAGGGTTAGGGATGTATTTGATAGGATCTAGGGTTAACTTACAGTGGTACCATCAAGAATATCAAGCTCTGACATAATGTTTTATTAATTTTTATTAAGGTTTGGTAGATTTGGGGGTGAAATAAAAATTGTTTTGATGTAAGGCTCTTGTTAATTAAGTAGCCCACAGACACAGCATAAGAGCTGATTGATTTTTAATTAAGGACGAGGTGCTGGAGGACGTGCCCACACAAGAAAGCTCCAACTCTTCCAAGTTTGGCCGGCCTGGCACTAAAAGAGCAACGTCCAAATGGTTCAGGACGACACAGAGGCTGAATGTCATGCATGAACAGAGTGGTCAGTTTGCGGAGTGGTTCCACGGCATCATCACAAGACAGTAAGTTGGTTGATGTAACAGTAATGGTGTAAATTGTTGGCCATAATTAAGCAAGAATATTAATTTTGTAATCAGGCAAATAAATAGACAGCACTTTACTTTAAAGGGGAAAGAACTCAAAACACCAAAAAAATAAAAAAAATAACTGAAGGGTGGGTAACAAACTACCAAAGACAAATGGTGTCCCTACATTACAGCCATACCCCACTGACTCTTGCAACAATTCCATCTAAAGAAGGTAGAATTATACTGAAAATAGTTCTTATGATACAAAATTGCAACAACCTTAAAGCAAATTTTATCCTAAGTGATTCCATTCTCAAAACACATAAAAAAGCAAAATTCTAGTTCATCAGCACTATCTAAGTATTAAATTATTTATATCTAAGTATTAAATTATTGAGATGTGTCCTTGTGGTTTGATTTAATTGTGGTTTGATCTTTACATGTACCATAAAGAAAAGCTTTTTAACTATGCAATTTAAAAAAAAATACTGTATTAAACATCTATTGAAATTGGACTATTATTAACAGAGAGATGAATGATTAGCTTATTTTGTGAGCAATTTTTTCAACTTTTCTCCAAAGAGAAGCAGAGAAACTTTTACAGAATAAAATACTTGGCTGTTTTCTTATTAGAGTTAGTGAGAGACGTTTTGGTTATACACTGACATTCAGGTAAGTTATTGGTAACTTTTTTGGGTTAGAGAGAGATGTTTTATTTTATATTGACATTTAAATTCAATTTTACCTAAGTATCATTGTACTTTTAGGAGTTAGTGAGAGATGTTATTATTATACAATGAGCCTCAAGTAAGTTTTTGGTAACAAAAATTTACAATGTCATGAGAAAAAAAATTATGCTTTGATCCTATATTTAACCTTATCTCTTTAGATTTATGTACTTCTATTTTTAATACCAGCTATAGCCTATTTGAATATAGCTATTTTATAACAGTTTTTTTTTTGTAACCCAAAGATATTGTAATGCTTGTGATATTGGTTTAGATAATCAATGATAGATGATAAATAATACAAGTAGTTCTAACACAAAAGCAGATGTATTTTATTTGATCCACTCTGGATGGTCTCCAGAGAATGGCTCATAATTTAAAACTCAACTTAGACCAACGTAAAAAAGAATAATATCACAACAGGGGTTGTTATTTTGCTTTAATGTAAAGGTAAATTATTGCTATGGTTATTCCCCCTGTATATTTTGGCCGTCTAAAGAAATGATTAATATTTTCAATATCAACTCACCAATTTTTACAATATTATTATTATCAAAACGTTTTTGGTTAGGTTATTCAGTTGATGATTAAATTGTTATTTAATGAACAGAGATGAAACCAGATGCCGGAACTACATGATAGACCAACTGAAAAATGGCAAGTTTATTATCATAGGGGAGCCTAAAGTCCACCGCAATTTGCATGATTTGGTAGTTTATCACAAAAAGGTGGGTCTGTTTTAACATTTGGAAAAACAGTAACTTTTTTTACCTGATTCTTATTGGCAATGTTTCTTTCAGACATCTTTTCAGGGGGTGGTGCCTTCCCGAAGCAAATCTACCACCCCTCGATTGAAATAGAAAAAATATATAATAATTTATATAGAAAATATATACTTTACCAGTGACACCCCCCAGCCCCCAAAATTTCAGCCATCCCCCCCCCTCCCCCATCCCGGAGAAGAAGAGTCTTAAAGAAACTCTGGTTAATGATACATTAAGGAATATAGTTTGTTTTATTATTTTTTATGTCAAAAAATAATTAGATTGGATTAATATTTTATCAATGTTTATTTTTTTGTAGCATAAACTGTCAAATTGGGGCCATCTACTCACTGTACCATGTGGTCAGGTAAGTTTGTCCTGTACATTTTAGACTGTTAGTAAATAAAAAAAAAAATGGTGTCAAGTTATTTTTAGCATCTGAAGTTGTGAGGGGAGGCAACCATGACTTTTTGTTTGGATATTTGTATGTTGAATTTTTAAAGCTTTCTTGTTTTTACAAGTATATTTTAATAATATTTTAAAGGAATCTGGAGAATGTGATTATTCAGAGCTAGTGGTAGATCAGGTAAGAAAGTTTATTCTTCAACTGGATTTCACTTAGACTGGATATTTTCCAACATTATTGCTCATTTTCTAGTTATGATTTTAAATTTTAATTTTTTAATGATGTAAAGAACAATGAATTAAGTTAGATCATTAATTATTATTTATTCAGTTTATTTATTTATAAAAAGGTAGATATTAGGTCATTGTTTTAAAATAGGATGTTTGATATTTTACAGAGTTATTTCCCTTTGTATCTATTTTGTAATGATTTGAGATAGATCTATTTTCGATTTGGTTTTAATCTTTTATTCTCAAATCAGAAAAATAGAAGGCCGCTACCTAAAGTGCCAGAGGATGTTTATAGAATGATGATTAAAAATAGTGTAAGTTTTGTTTTCCTACTCTACAGATATATTGTAAGTAGCAACTCTCCTTCTAGAGATAATTCACAGGGTAGTTGTTGATTTGTTTTTTATAGCCAATGCATTATGGTTAAACACATAAATAACCTGATGGTGGGGACCTATTAAGGCAGGATAGGTTTGGTGGGTAAAATAAATCATTATATTTAAATATTGACTACCGTGCGGTTCAAACTACTATTTTTGTAGGTGAAGCAGAGGGGGCCTGTTTTTTTTTTTTTTAAAAAAAAGGTGTCTTTGTATTTGATAGCTCATTCTTTATTGCACATTACCGCAAAAATATGTAGTTTACCTATTGAACCTAGCAGTTGATGGGGCAGATGAAGTAGAGTTCACCTGTTCTGTGACCTTGACATATGAAGTGATACTGTGGTCCACACAAGGCCCAACCAACTTTAGTTTCCCTAACAAGAGTCAGGTACCCATCAGAGCTGGGGGGGGGGGGGGGGGGGTGAGGGACATCCTACTTACTAGAGGGGTCTGAATCAAGACTTGTATGTTTGCAGTCATGTGCTCTACCATCCAACCTTTTTTGTGTACAATAAATAACATTGAGTTCTGTTTTGATAACAGAGGTCTCCCATGTTGCCCAGACGTGTCCTGGCTAAATGAACATCTTGAGACTACCCCAAGTTGTCTCTCATTAAACTGTTGATGTGTTACATGGACAGTATCAACACTGATGTGTAAAAGTAAATTACAGGCAGATTTACTTTTGCTTTTGTATAGGATTCACTAATAGCCAGTTTCTGAAGAAATGTATAATGTATGGTATTTAATGTATGTACAAAAATTGATGGTAAAAGTAGATCTCTTTATCTGGAGGTAATTCCATTCTTGAAGATTTTGGCTTATCAACCTTATCCAGTTATCTTATACATCTGTAGATAAATAGGATTTAAAAAAAAATGTTTAGACTACCAAAACTTGCAGCTTCTACTAAATTAAATAATACAAATTTAATATAAAGCATTGTAATTAAAATGCGCCATGATTCAAATAAATATATCTAATTTATTAATCAAGAGTATGAGTTAATAGGTGGCCTGAGATTTGATATGACATTTCTTTTATGTAAATTTCTGATATATATTGTTGTGACTACTGATGTTTTGACACAATGCTGCAATTACACGCAATGTAGATAAACCTGATGAATCTCAAGAAATGCAGCTGGTTTTAAATTGCATATCATTTTTAAAAATTAAGAACACACCATTAAAAGTTTTGAATGTTTCTTAAATGTGATGTTTATTAATCATATAGTATCGTAGATACTACTTGATACAGAATATTATAAAAGAATAAATATATAATATATATTTTTGACTTTTTAACATGGGAATGTAGCCAACTGTTAGTGACAAGGAAGTTGTACTATTTTTTTGTACACTCCGTAAAGGAAATAGATGTATGCCAGTACAGATGTAAAGTTCACTTTTGTTTTCAAATTTTTTTATGAAGTCTTGGGTATTTTGTTTTAAAAATATATTCAATAAAATCATGTATTAAAAAGTAATATTGTTAGTAATTCATTTCTATAATATATGTGCTCTTTTTATATTTAAAATTAAGCTAGTATTGAATTGCCAGATGGCTTGGTCGGATGTTAGATCATACGACTTGTAACAAGAAAGTCACAAATTCAAATCCCTGATTTAAGTCTGTAGAACATCCCTCAGTCCATCCAGCTCTGTTGGGTATCTGAAATATGTTGAAGAAAGTAAATTTGGCTGGGCATAGTGCTGACCCCACTATTTCTCCACGCCCCTATGTCACTAAACTCTACTTCACCTGCCCCACGGACCGCCAGGTTTGAACGAGTACTTGCAAAAGAAGGGAGAAAAAAAATGGTGGAATTGATTGTTCGTATAGTACCGCCAACATAAGGCTTGATTTTGTGAGTTATGTTTTGTCATACTGAGATTTTTTCAGCTCCTTCATCTATCCCTGCACACATCTCCCAATTTGTATTTGTTTACACCCAACACACATTTAGATCTCAAACTCACTGCTTCTGATATTCAAACTTTTATACTCAAAGATTGGTCAATGATTCCGTATGTTGGTCCACTTTGTTGGACGTCAAATGTTCTGGGCGATCACAGTGTTCGTCCATCATGCTTGCCCGGCATATCATGCGACAAACCATCAGCTTTGACTTGACCAACTTGCCTGACAAAATGACATGCAATGAACAAATCACCGTTTAAAAAAACGCCTGCCATTTTGAATTTTATTAAAACAACTGTATATGCGAAGCTCTCTGTTTTTTAATACCCACAGTCAGGGATAGACTGGCTGTGTCCAAGAGGCCAGGAAAATTAACCCTTCAACCCCATATTGAAATTTTCATTGTGAATTTTTTTTTTTTTTTTTAAAAACTTAGTTTAATTTAACGCCTTGCTATGAAGTAATGGAAAAATGGAGAAATACCAACACGACATACAAAAAAAACAACAACAACCCACTGATAGGAATTTTTCCGGGGCCCACAGGGACTTTTCGGTGGACCGTCGGGTCAGTCCACCCCTGCCCACGGTTATTAAACAAAGTATATTTATGTAAGCATATTTTGACAAACAATACACTTTCGTACCAATATGATTATATTGTTAGGGTTAAGCAAAAAAATAAATAAATAATACAACATCTTAGATACATCCTTGCCCTGATAACTGAAAACAAAACCTCAGCAGCTTCTTAACCCAACACATTGACTTCTCTACAAATGCTAGACCTTCTATATATATTTTTATGCTCATCTTCTAGACCCTTCGATTACGTCACTACGTGGATGCTCAACTCCGTCTGATCTTCTCTCTGTAAAGAAAATAGGCCCACTTCCTCGTAGACTACCAATAGAAACTTAGCCAAGGGGAGGAGCCAAGAAAAATCTATACCCACCCTAGTGTTGAGTAAGCTCATGTGAGTGACAGGGCCTTGTGTAAAAATAACAGTCAGACCAGCACTAGTCGAGTGGCTTGGCCAATAAGTCATTACTCATTTTCTACAAAACTATTACATCAGGTTTTAAAATAAGCGACAGTAAATAAAAAATATCTGGTTTTCAATTTACGTATTAAACAGAAACAACGTAATTTATGTGATTGCATATTTTAAGATTTAAATAGATCTAGGAGTAAAAATAATCTGAAGAAAATATTCAGTCGTATTATTTTTAGTCTGTTTTTTTTTCTCGTCTAGTGAACATCAGAAAATCTCCCAGACGCAACTAGCCTCGCTGTTGTCAGGTTGAAAAGATGATAAAGAAACGATGTTATCCGACTGAATTGTTCCAATTTCCTTACAAAAGTCAAGAGCTCCATAAACAAATAAAATATTACAGACATAACACAGCTAGCCAATCTTGCAGACGTCGGGTAAGATTCGTAACTCCTGATTTTTTTTTTCTCTTCTGGGCGCGCGTGCGGGGTAAAAAAAAAATTTGTGACTGGGAGTTATCGCCCTTCACGTATCAATCGCGCTCTCTTCTCTCTGCTCTGCGCATCTTCCTTGCGCAGTTTCGCACAACAAACACCGCGCGAGAACTCCAACACGCTTTTTACAGTCGAACATTGCCAGGGGGTTGTTCCGCAAAGTGGCCAACAAAGCTGCTGCCCTTAAATTAAAAATAAAGAAGAATACACGCGTTAGAAGAGACGAGAGGGGGGGGGGGGGGGGATGGGAAGGGATAATTAAAAAATAAAAATTCTTGGCATTGCGCCTATATTTTGTAGCGCAGTTATTAACTCTGATCAGAAGACGATATTAAATCTTAATTTTGACAAGCCGGCTTAAGAAATCAGAGCCCCCAAACGACAGCAGCGGTGCCGGGAATTTAGCTGCACGCTCCTGTTCTACCGTCTTAGTTGACGGCTTCCATCCGTACAAACACGTGCACGTGCCGCGAACCGACTCCGCTTCCTCCTGATAGGAACAGCGCCATTATTGGAGTCTGCAGCACTGTGTGCCCGCCTGACCAGTGCTCACACAGAGGTTAACGATATGGACATTTGAATGCATGCCACGCTGTGGACACAGACTGCGGCTCAGTCCTGACACAAAATGCGATCCGTCTTTGACACTAAAGGGGCATACACTAATGTAGAAACTATAGCAGCGTCGCAGAAACTATAACAGCGTCGCAGAAAGTATAGCAGCGTCACAGAAAGTATAGCAGCGTCACTGAAACTATAGCAGCGTCACAGAAACTATAGCAGCGTCACAGAAACTATAGCAGCGTTACAGAAACTAAAGCCCTGGAATATAAAAGTGCTAATACATTGTGTAAAACCTTGATCGCCAAGCTAGGTGAAGATAGGTGGGAGGTCTAAAAGTAACTACAAATGTAAGCCTTTATATATATATATATATATATATATATATATATATATATATATATATATATATATATATATATATATATATATATATATATATATATATATTTATTTATTTATTTATTTATTTATATATATATATGTATATATATATGTATATATATATATGTATATGTATATATATATGTATATATGTATATATATATATATATATATATATATATATATGTATATATGTATATATATATATATATATGTATATATATATATATATATATATATATATATATATATATATATATATATATATATATATATATATATATATATATATATATATATATGTATATATGTATATATATATATATGTATATATATATATATATATATATATATATATATATATATATATATATATATATATATATATATATAAAGGCTTACAAAAAATGGGGAGGGGGGATAATGAGACCTCCCTTGGCACTAAGATTTGCGGCTAAGCTACCATTTAAACTATTAACATTATGGATATAGTAATTCTATGAGTGCCCGTCTCAATGGGTGTGTTGTCAATCTACGGTGTATCTATGGGAGGTACAGGGCAGTTGGATTACAGGACATGGGAGGTACAGGACAGTCAGATTAGAGGACATGGGAAACACAGGACAGTCAGATTAGAGAATATGGGAAGTACAGGACAGTCAGGTGACAAGACATGGGAGGTACTGGACAGTTGGATTAGAGAACATGGATGATACAGGACAGTCAGATATATGTGTGACAAAACACACAACATGAAGGATGACTGAAATAAAGATGACTGAACACCATTTGATGACTTTAAAACTTTAACAGTTCTGTACTCCAGCTTAAGTTTTTAAATGCTGATGTACATCGATCTCTATCGATAAAGATAACCCCAACCGCTTTGCTCGCCCATGATCTATTCCAAAAAAAAAAAAAGCGCTAAGCTTGTTAAATTAAAAGTTCAGATATCTTTAGCAATGAGACAATATATTCTATTAATATAAATCTAAATATATTTTGAAATGAGCCATTTTATTTCCAAAAATATCAGTTCTGAAGCAAAAAGTAAATAAAAATAACAGATTGGCAGTATCATTTAGGTGTTAAAAGAGATTGCTCTCAAATTATTTTATCCGTTTTCATTTAACTTCAGATTTTAGAAAACAATCATTCTCTGTGTGCCTCTAGCCTAGTCCAACGGTCTAAAAATAAACTCAACGATAACGGCGCCCTCCACCGGACACTGGTCAGACTTTAAGCCGGCGCGAGTAGGTGAATCATATAATCTGACACGGTCCGGGGGGAGGGGGGCACATCCGGTCAGAGAAATCCGCCCCAGTCAATCAAAGTAGTAGAACCCGGGTTCCCCCGGGGGGTCAGCCGGCATCAAATTGAGGACCGGCGATTCTTGCCGTGGTGCCTGTGTGCTCGCCATTATCACGCGCATTTAGTAATGGCCAG